GTAATACAAGAACCCTCAGAGCCGCATTCCCACCAACGGCCATTCAGAGCGTGCTTGCTTCAGATCTGGAGACCAGCTCAACCGCTTCAGCCTTGCCCGGCAAGACTGAAGTGCCAATGTACCCAGTGATTGCTTCGGCTTTATACTGTGGATGGTTGCGAAATCCATTTCGCACCACTTAAGAAGCCCTGGAATGATTCGATTGCCCAACATAAATTCCAACAAACAATGATTTGCAGATTTCCGGGTTTCGAGGGTCGTCGCCTCCAAACAAATCAAGAAAATAATGATCCAAAAAAGCAAGAAAATAGTGATCTCCCGTTGTGATTTGCAGATTTGCGGGTTTTGAGGGTTGTCGCCTGGAAAAAACAGCAAGAAAATAGTAATCTCCCACTCCAAAAAAGCAAGAAAATAGTGATCTCCCGCTGTGATTTGCAGATTTCCTGGTTTCGAGGGTTTATCGCAATTTTCTTGCTTTTTGTTTCACAATTGTCTTGCTATTTTCTTGCTATTTCTAGTCTCTTGTTTGCTTCATTCTTGCTTTTTTAGTGCCCACTGTTTGCTCTAAAATCACTTTTTTCTTGCTTTTTTTTCCCACCCGAAACTTGGGATCACTATTTTCTTGCTCTGTTGCTTGCTCTACATCTCACAAAAAAAAAAAGAAAAAAACATTTTCCAATGGTTAGCTGGTTTCGCAAGTCTTAACACTAGTTTCACAGGGATTTAGTCCATCCGCAGTACCTCTGTCATGTTGATGTTGCTCACCAGTAAGGGATACTCGGCAGTTCGTTGAGCAAAAGTTTGTCATTTTTTTAACGTGTGGTGGCCCTGCTCTCGGGTTTGGAACTCACTTCAACCTATTCCTTCTGCCCTTGGCCTTGTAGCAAAAGCTTTGGTTTCATTTGAACCTTTCTTCACAACCAAGCTTTTTCGAGAAAGGTAGCTATTTAAGAGCAGTAGGAAGCGTAGATATGCAAGCAGGAACTTGTCTTACCTTTGCAAACTGGCACACACCTGCACAGTATTGCACACCCAGGGGGGGTTGCCAGAATGAACGATCCAGTTGACATCACGGTTGTCAATGAAGCCGCACATGCTGTATCATTGAGGGGTAATTCTCGGAATGCCGATCGAACAGACATCGCATTGAATGGTGGCAAAGACGTGCAACAAGATCCTTCCGTTTGCATTCTATAATATGTGTTTCCCTTGGTTGGTGTTAAAGGGAACCTATCACTGGAAACATATATTTTCATTTGTTCGAGTAGGCGCCTATCCGCAAATGGAAGGATCGTTTTCCAGCAACTCAACTTGGCTCCCAGCCATCCGGTTCGTTAGCTTTGGTTTTTAGTTGGCTTGGTGCTAGAATCCAATATTATCCACGAAAAGCTACCTGGACCCGCAGAATTCGCTTGAACATGGGGTCATTGCCCCACAATCATGGGGTAAATTCTCATATTCATGGGTAGTTTGAGGGTCCAGCAAGTCGCTTTTAGCAGGGGATCAGAACAAACAGGCAGCCCAGTCAGCCCGCCAGATGCTGGCATCGTCATGCTCCGCATCCGCGTGCGGGGCCGAGACGGGTCGATGGGGGATGTTATTAGTTGTTGTTTCTGTGTTCTTCTTTTTATAAGTTATGGGTGTGGCTCAAAAAAATCACCGGGAAACCCTTACATCATGTTCGGAAATTTGTAGCCTTGGGACGGGGCCAACTTACCTGGAGTGGACATGCTGCGTACCTGCAATCACGCTGAACTGTGTGTGTGTGTGTGCTTGCTTTCTTGCTTGATTCCTTGCTTGATTGCTTGATTGCTTTCTTGATTCCTTGCTTGATTGCTTGATTGCTTGCTTGCCTGGCTGGCTGGCTGTCTGTTTGTACAGCCGCAGCCATTTTTTGCAGGGGACTTGCAATCAGTCAGCGGCCCCTGGTAGCAGCGTAGCTGTTTGCAGGGCTGGGTCAAAACGACTGTACCATCCTTTCCAACCATCGTTCTTTTCGACAACCGGATCCGTTTCCCTGGGTGTCCGGAGGCTTTCTAGAAAGATTCGGATCCCTGGAAAGAATGGAAATGGAAGGTAGCACTCTGATAGTAGTCTCTGAAAACTGAGTTGACTTTGAGGCTCACCGGGCACATCGGCTTGTCGTTCTTTGGGCCATCAGAGCAGGGTAGTTATCCTGATAGTTGGCCAGAAACTCAGCTGGGACAAACGAGCATTCAGTATTTCAACAGTCGACTTGAGTTCTTAGATTTGTTCTTACCCACCGGAGGGAATTACAACAGGGCCGTGTATCACAAAAATCGGGACCCTTTGCACTGGCAAGTCACGGTGCGTTCTTGTAATATTTACCAGGTTACTAGGGGAGACCATCATGTACCTCAGAGCGAAGGACACCTATAGTGGCAAATGGGAGCACTGGGATAAATTTGTACATGCCTTGGTGGCTCCCAGCCATCCGGTTCCTTAGCTTTTTAGCCTTTTAGTGTTTAGTGGTAGTTTCCATTTAACCCACTCAAAGTTAGTCACTTTTAGCAGGTGTTGAACCGGCCGCGTGCCAGGGACAAGTAATGGGGTCATGGAGACTCCAGGTAGTGGCAACTGGGAGCACTGGGATTCATCTCTTGACTGCTATTGGGTTGGATCTTTAGACTTTAACTTTTTGGGAAATAAAGGTGTTTTCCACCAACCCCCAAAAAAGTTAAGCTGTTTGCAGGGGGTGAACAGCGACCAAGTTTTCTACATGCCACACTTCAAAGCGCCTCGCTCAGTTTATCTTGTTCTTGGTCCTCATCGTGCCAGCTTTGCCCGCGGCCCAAGTGCGACGCAATGCATTCGGCGGTGTGTGGCATGTTTTCTCCTGGCATTTGGAGCAAGAAGTTGTTCCCCCCTTGCGGGTGCCTGGAGTCTCCATGACCCGAATCAAAAATAGGTCCATGACCCTATTATTTAGGGTACTGTTTTCAGTTTTGAAGGGTCATGGAGACTCTAGGTGGTTTTAAACATCACCTTTTGGGCCCATGGTTCGGTGAGTATCCCTTGGGGGTGATGTTTCAAGGGGAAATGTGCATCGCTTCGGGTGACATGAAGGGAGGTCTTGCCATCGACCGTTGTATTTGCTGAAACCGATATGTTTGTTGTTGTGTTGTTTCCCCCCGTTTTGGTTTTAAAGGGGATCGATTTCACTCCTGGTCACTAATTACAGGAAATATGTTCTCGTTGTGTGTTCTTCTTTTTCTTTTCTTTTTTTCAGGGGGCGCAAAACGGCAAAACACAAATGGAAGTTATACAAGGATCTCAGACAACCATGATGTAGAGTCCTTTGTGACTGGCGTTATTCGCCCTGAAATAGGTTATTCACAGATGTTGCCTCACGCGCTGCAGTCTTGATTTTGCCCATTTGCCATTTGATCCTGCGATACTTCTCAGATCCCCTGCTAAACGTGACCAACCTGCGGTTAAATGGAAACCACCACGAAACTAACTAAAAGCCGAAGAAAGCTACGGGGACGGCTGGGAACCACCAACTTAACAACAACAACTCGTCTTGTGTCCCAACAAACACCTCTTAACTCATCAAGGGTTGGAAAGGTTGGGAATGAGCCGGTTAATGGAAACCACAAGGGATGGTTTATAGGTTCATTCGCTCTGGGCGATTCGAGTCGTTGTTTGGTTTGCAAGGCAAAATGACTAGGTCCCCCACTATTGCCCTTTCTCACCCCTTTTTGGGGGAGGGTTCCCCCAATCAAACAGACTACAGAAAGAAAATTGGGTACCCTTATTCTAACCTCGCTACTGGAGGACCCAGATGAAGGACGTGGTTGCCTTTCCAGCATCTGTTCTGGCTAACAGGCAGCCCTCGTTGCAGGCCGTCGACGCCAAAATTGTATACACTTCCGTAGGTACTGTGGATGGACAAAATTTTGCACATCTTTGAAACCATGGGAAACTTGGGAAACCATTGTTAGTTGGCATTTACAGGGGGATCATCATTCTAGGGTTTCTTGGGGCCACCTGAGAACCCTGGAAGCTTCCCGCGGAATACCACAAACCTGTTTTTTTTCCCTTTGGCTTCAATGTGGTGCATGATTTTGTCCATCCGCAGTATGCCCTTGTTCAGTGTATGTCGAAGTCGTACTTGCAAGGGAGTAGATACCCATGAGGTGTCAGGTTTGGGCAGAAGGCTGCATCAATGCGCTGCCCTACTTTTCGGCAGCGCATTGATGCTCGGACTATGGCTGCCTTAGGGCATTGAACTTATTTTGCTGGTTCTCAATGAGGGAAGGACCCCCATTCATCATCCCCTATGGTTTCCTTAAAGGGAATCCCCAGGTTCATTCCCGACAGGCATTCTCTTCCTATCGCACCAGCAAGTTTTATGCTACAGTTGACTCGAAAGAATGTGGGACTAGTTTCCCCATGGATTTTGAACACATTTGCACCTTGATTGGCCTCCAGACACCTTGTCAGCATGGTTAACAGAGAAGCCCAAAGGAAAGCACCCACTTTTCTTGGTGGCTCCCGAAGGCCATCCGGTTCCTTAGCATTTCGAGGCTTTGAGTGTTGAGTGACTGGGGGTTTCCGAATTCGAATTTGGCCCACGAAAAAAGTGAGTCACGTTTTGGCAGATCTGAGGGCAACAGCCCACTTTTAGGTGGCCCAGATGTCTTCTTTGAACCGGCCGCATGCCAGGGCCAACGTCGGCCTCTTCTTTGCCGGGCGCTTTCTCAGCGGAGAAGGCCAGGGCATTCTCGTCACAGAGAACGCGGCCTGGGAGTTGTAGGCGTGCTCGAGCTAGCAGCAGTTTCTCACTTCCTGAGTTCATGAACTTGAAACTTTCTGGGGTTGGACCATTTTAGTGGTAAATATAAAGTTTGGACTTTTTTTGGGCCATCCACTCAGCAAGTGAGTTTTAGACGTGCGTCTTTAGACCCAAACTTGAAAGGGCGCCCCTTTGTTTTTTTCCGGCTGGTTTCAAGAAGAAAGGAAGAACGTGAGGCAGCATGGGTCCCGCTCATTCTGAGACATGCGGAACCATGCTAGCTTTCCGCTCCCAAGCTTTTCCCCTGAAAGCGGCAGCTTGGGATTGACGGGGATAAGGAACGTTCCTCAAGGTGCAGCTTCAGGCATAAAGAACGAGAAGTATTGCCTGCTGAGCGCACAGACAGGGAACTCTGGACCCTGGAACAAGCTGAACTGCCCTGGCGCCATCGCCCCGGGCAATGTTTGTGCGTTGGGTTGGTTTTCTTCAAGAGACTGTCCAACTTGGAGTTGATTTCTTCTCGGTTCCCAGCCATCCGAATCATTAGTTGTTGGTCCTTGGTTTGGTGGTGGTTGTCCTTGCTTCCTTTTGCCAGGGTCCATTTGGGGTACCTATTTTGGACCCACTGCCAGATGTTCCAACATGGAGCTGGTTCTATCGCAGGTGGCTAACAATTTGGACCCCACCCAAACTGGGACCTGTTTTTTTTTTCAGTTCAAACATGGACCAAGGAAACAGGGGTTACCCAACAAAAACAGGCTATCTGGGTTTTGACCAGAATGCAGATATTTTTTTGGGTAGGCTGAATATGGAAGAGTCACAAGATATGACTTCCATTTGCTTAAGAAGAGTTGTTTTTCTTCTTTGTGGCCGCTAAAGGGAATCTATCACTACTGGAAATTTGTTCACATTTTTTCCAGGGGGCTTAAGCAAGTGGAAGATTATTTTGCTGTGTTGCGGGCCCAGCTTAGCTTGGACCTTGTTAGGTCGACATCTTGTTGCCATGCTTCCAGAAGCCGAACCCTGCTTGTTCAACCATGGCTTCAGCTTCAAGCTACCTGCGGATCCCGAGTTCGGGCTCTCTTGGTTTGACCCTCCGAATTGCTCTGCGGATTTTTTGCAGCGACGGCTTCTTGACGCGTTGGGATGGTAAGCAGGAAAAAATAACAACTTGGGGCAGTTCGCCTCACAGAGAATGTGTCAGACCCGAAGCACGTCAAAGTGTTGATTATGCTATGATATGCGTCAAAAATACACCACCGCAAATTTAGTCCAGGTTTTGTTTATCAGGTTCATCAGGATTTTCAGGTACCTATTTCTGACCCACAGCCATTTCTTGCTAGGCTTCCTTCTTTCTGGATGCCAGTGGGTCTGTGTCTGATGAGTACCTTCGGTTCACAGCACCAGCCTCCCCGGTTCGGACCACTTTTGGTTTGCAAGCAGGGAAATCTGACGCGGGTCGAAACCACTTGTTGCTTCAAATGTGTTGAAATGTTTGTGAGGGCACATCCGGCGACGCAATATAAATCGTCAGGCGCCCCTCTCGTTTTGGCTGTGAATGCTGTTCGAAAATAAATAAATCATATGTTGTTGCTTGATTTGTTTGTTTGTTTGATTGATTGATTGAGTGCGCCATCCACTGTGAGCGGTTGATCTCTTCAGGCCTTCAGATCTCCCTGCTGACCTCCGCCACCCAGGCGACCGTCAGCGAAAGCGGAAATCCCCAAGAAAGCCTCGTCTTGGATCATTATTTTTTCGGGGGGGTAAGTTGTTTTAAGTTGTTTTGTTCTTCTCTTAGGTCCCCAGCTAGGTGCCCTTTTCCCGATTCTTATTTTGGGGAGGGTTCCCCTTCTAAAATAAACTACAGAGAAAAGTTGGTACCCTTATTCTTCCCTCTCTACTGGAGGACCTAGTCTATCTTCTCTTTTCTTGGACCATTTTTGGTGTTTGTGTTTTTTTTCTTTGGGGGGGGGTTGTGCATTTTTAGCCGGGGCTGCAAGAAGCTTAGTGTTTTTGCAAGCACACCAGGGCTGTGAAGCAAACACCCACCAAACACATGGGTATTGGTCAAACAGTTCGTCACCACCAGGGATTGCACCCCAGGTGTTGGTCCCTAGCTCCATGTATCGATCGGGCAAACCATTTTGGGTCATGTTGGCAAGCAGCATCATGAGGGCTGATCAGTTGCCCTGCGATGCTGCAGGTCGCTCCATCCATCCATCCATCCATCCATCCATCCATCCATCCATCCATGTTTCTGTGGTTTCCCTTACCAAGCTGAAACATACACTCAGAAGCACAAGAAAGCCACATGGGGGCCTTCCCTCCAGGGGGGATGTCCGCACGTGATTTTCCATGTCCTCTTGAGGCAGATGAGGCGCTCGGCATCGGCATCCCCATCTGCTCCATTCTGATTCAGGTGCGTCTGGCCTCGGGTTTTTGTTGATTTTGTGTGTGTGTGAATTATTCCCGGCAGGAGACTGAAGGACAACCATCATTTTGGGATGTTTAGACTCATGGAAGTTCCTAGGAGTGGACTGCACTTCCCTTCGACTCGGGACTTCGGGAAGAACGTTTTGGTGGCCGGCAGAAAGCTCCCAAGGAGTTTCTTTGGCCAAACGCAAGTGAAGGACAGGGGGCTTCCCAAAATATGTTTGTCGAAGCTTCCAAAAGCCTCGCTTCAGCTTCCATGATACTCTTCCATTTGCCTAAGAATATTTTGTTTTTCCCTTTGTTGCATCACTACTGGAAATATATTGTTTTTCCAGGGGTCTTAAGCAAAAATGGAAGTACTTGGGAAAAGTATGCGCCAAGGGCGATCAGAGTTTGCCGGAGGCCATGGAATCAATTTTTGACCGATCTGACCCATGAAGCACCCCGGACTTTCGGCCAGACTGTTTAGCGTCACACGCGGCATGTAGAGTAAGCTCCTGGTTCGTTTGGGTCAGCGTTGCGTTCTTTTTCGCGGCCCCTTGGGCCTGAGAAGTGCCTTCGGACTAGCTTCGGGGACTGGATTTTGCCAGCTGGACGAGCCTGCGAGGCCTTCTTCATCAGGAACAAGAAGGATATGGTCAACATCCAGCTGAAGATCTTGCAAATGAAGAAGGAGCATCGAGTGATTCATCGCCCTTGCTGTTTGTTTCTTCTGACAAGTGAGCAAAGAAAGGAAGCTTGCTGGGGTAAACGCTCAGGAGCAAGAAAACATTATTGAGGGACATTCTTTGGGGAGGTTATTCCAAGTTGTGAGCCAGACTATGATTCGCCATGATCCCTTTTGCGAATTAAAGAAGAAGCCCAAAAGGAGTTTTTTGTTTTTTTTGGCCAAGCAGGAAATAGAAGGGGCAAAGTCATTTCTAGTAGTCTACTCCTATAGTTACTCCGCAAACGTTCGGCTCCGGATCCGCGAAGGTGAACACCGAGCGAGCAAGGTTTGACAAATCGATGCCATCTGGATGGACGAAAATCTGCACCATCCAAGAAACCCTGGAAAGATGATTCCCCTGTAAATACCAGCAAAAAATGGTTTCCCATGGTTTCAAAGTGGTGCAGGATTTCGTCCATCCACAGTAGGTGTCCTTTTTGGTTGATTTGGTTTAAACATAGAGGGCGATTCCTGGTTTACCTGGTGGTTCAATCAACTGCCAGGGAATTCCATCTATTTTTCCAAAGGACTCCTATGGATGCAATCACAACCAAACTTGGGTTTGAAGTTCCCCACCTCATTCTAAGTACTGAGGCCCGTCCAATTGGGCCTCCTGGGCAAAAGCCGCGAAGGTCCTTTGCCTGATCCAATGCCTTTTGGGGTTGAACTGGGTGTGTCTTTTTGAGAGTGCCCTTTTTGGCCTGTTATTTGAAGGGGGACCTAAATGAAAACCACTAGTTTGGCGGGGTTCCCTAAACAAAGGCACACTCAATTCTTTGTTTCGCAGAATCATTTCCTCTCCCTCGCTACACACTAGCTACAATTTGCAGACAGTTGGAATATAGCCAAGCATGGGCATGGGTATTGGGTATCCAATGAACACCCTCCCAGACCTCTAATGTGTTGCTTCCTTTTTTAGAGGGGTTTCCCTAGAATCCACTAAGCAAGAGGTGCTTGGAAGGTGGAAATCCACCGGGATCCTCTTAAATTTCGGCCGTCTACCAGGGCTTGTCTCAAAATAGGAATCGGAACCCCAAAATGGTTGGTTTCCGTTTGGTTTTCTTTTCAAGCAACCCAAAAAGGCTACCCTCCCGTCTATTGTCACTAAAATGGAACCAGAGGGTCACTTGAGGAAAATAGCCTTGCCTCCCCTTGACCTTGTTTCTTTCCCCCTAGTTATTAACCAGGGGAGCTCCCTCTGAAAGAACGGATTTCCAACTAAAAAGGGGCTTTTCTGCACAGCAACTGGGGTGTTCATGAATCAGCAGGCGGCATTGGTGACGGGAGAGCTAAGGTGGCAGAGCAAAGCTGCGCCAGAATAGCTATTCTCCCGTTCTGGGTCCACCTCGAACAGCTGCGCACTTAACTACTGGGTTTTAAAGTAATTCACAACTACTGGAAAGATGTTTTTTTTCTTTTCCTCCCTGAGGCCTTCACCAAATGGAAGTTGGTGATGGGAGAGCACCTCCAAACATCCCAATCCCCACGCGCACCCACGAGGACGAGGCGGAGAAGAAGCGGCTCGAAGCGGAAGCGGAGCTGAACCGCCTGCAGGGCAACGAGGCAAACGGGCCCGGGGAGGACACCGGCACACCGGGGCTCCTTAAAAGAAATTCATGTTGCCACCAGTTGAAACATGTGGCTTTTTCAAGACCAAAGTAAAGAGTTGGACACCTCCATTTACAAGTTGCAGTGTTCAGGTGTTGAGGACACCTCGAGAAGGGGTCTGGGACTCAACTCAAGGGGTGGTGTCCTTTTGGTTGCCTTTTGAACCCAACCCCGGACACCTCAAGAAGAGGTCTGCAAAGCCAAATGGTATTGAGGAAACCTCAACTTCACTGCTATACCTCAGCTTGACTGCTACTGGGGTAGACTTAGGATACATTTTACATTTTACCAGTGACTCCATGTGAAGCAAGCAATAACATATACATTCTATAACTGGGCCTAACTCTAATCATGGCTATTGGGCAACGGCTCTTTGGACTTGAACTTCTTGGGAAATCTCGGGGGTTCCACAAAATCCTCAGAAAGGTTAAACTGTTTGCAGGGGGGTGAGCAACCCAGTCAAGAAGAGGTCTGCAAAACCAAACGACTCAACTCAAGGGCGCCCGGTGTTGAGGAGGGTTTCCCTAAATAGACTAGAGAAAAAAGGGTACCCTTATTCTAACCTTTCTACTGGAGGACCAGGGGAGGGTTTCCTTTTGGTTTCCTTTTAAACCAACCCCAGAAAGGGTACCCCCTCGACAAAACAAAATGCCCAATTCGTTTAATTAACAAAACCCAATTTGGAGACGCGGGGTCTCCTACAAGATTTGAGCAAAACATGGGTAGACCTAATATGAAGCAGACTCAACAGATGGGCCAAGTGAGGATTACTTCTTGACGGGACGGGTGCGGATGCGCTCATAGGTTTGGGCCGTGAATGCGATTTTAGCTACCTTGAAAACTTGTCGCAGACACAGCATGCCCTTTGGCCCAGTGATAGCTGGGGTCTTCTCCAGTACTATTGGTTAGCATTCTAAGGCTGACTGACAATGGATGTCCAAATATTCCGGGTTCTGGGAAGCAACCTTGAGAACATGAAAGGAACTAGAAGTGGTAGAAGCATTGGCAATAGCTGGTTGTGATTTAGGTCGGTTTGTTCTTCTCATTTGTTGGATGTCGGGTCAAAGGGACAGTCTTTGTTGAGGGGGACCCTGCCGTGGGTCCCTTCAAAGTACTGGCTGGCAATTGGGGGTGGGAAAAGTCATGGTGTCGTTTGAGCCTGGTCCGTCCATCCCTTCCGCCCGGGCCCTTTCTTGAAGTCTGGGAAAGAACCTCTGGCGCCCTGCCCAGAAAGGCATTTTCACTGGGAAAGAGAAGGGTCCAGGACTCACAGATGGAGACTACTGTCCTTGAGGAAATGCCCCCAATCCACTTCGCCGTGCTAAAAACAGCTTACCTGAGTATGAAAGCAGTCGGCGCAAGCTACCCATTTTGGTTTCATCATCCTCTGAACTTACAGGCAAAGAGGGAATAGTGCAATCTACTTTCACTGTGCTGTGTCACTGCCAGATCTGTCCAAAAAGAGCAGCTAGCATGGTCAGTCCCCATATTTCCTGTGGTTTGAAACATCAGGGCTAAGCGTGATGTTCGGGGAAATACTGTGGATGGACGAACTCCTGCACTGGTTGACACCGCGACGTTTGTTGGCATTTACAGAAATCCTGGACCACCCAAGAAACCCTAGAATGATGATTCTCCTGTAAATAGCAACAAACAATGATTTCAACCATGGTTTCCGGATTTCGCAACCATCCACAGTAGGGTTTCTGAACGGTGGTGCGTTAGATGGACTTCGCAACCATCCAAACTAGGTCCCCCAGCAGTGCCCCTTTCTCACTCCTTTTTTGGGGGGAGGGTTCCCCTACTAGTCGATATTTACAGGGGAATCGTCGGAAACCAGCGCAACAATCCACAATAATGGCAGCCCTGGTCCGAGGTGATCACTCCCCTGTTGCCACTTCTGCCACTTTTGTTCATTCAATTTGCCTCGGTCGCATCGCAAAATTCCGATCCAGGCGACGCAGAAGTCGGAGGTGGATTCACTGCAACAAAGCCTCCAAGAAGAGGCCCGTCTCCAAGAGGGATCCTCACATTTTCCTATTTGGGTGCGGGTCAAAACCAATGGTACCATTTTGGGGTAGGTGCACCACCCGTTTTAGTCTATTTTAATGGGAATTGGGATAATCACTGGGGGTACGGGTTTTTTGACTGGGGGTACGGGATTTTTGACCCATGGCCATTTGTTGTGTTTTTAAGGTTAAACCCCTCCAAACACGCTGTAAAACCACACAATACGGGTACCAACTCCAACACATCCATTTAAACCAAAGGCAAACCACCATTTTGGAGACCCCTGATGTACGTTTCCCCGGCACCTGGACTTGGAAGTTGGGAATGTGGCAAAGGACCCCACACGTTTTCAGACCCCTGGCACATGCCTCAAGCCTTGAGATTCGGCAGGAAGGTGCTTCAACCAGTTGTTCATTCTCGTGACCATACTACTCAGAAGAAGCGAATTCTTGAAACAGATCAACCCAGAACGGTGACAAAAGCGAATCACCGTTGATTCCCCGTTGAGATCGACACGCTTGAGGGAAAAGAGGGAGGCGCGGTCGGTTGCTCCCTGTTGATTCTTTCTGGTGTCTGTTCACAAGGCTCCCTGCAAACAGGAACCAGCCTGCGTCAAACATTTGTTCATTCTCTTGACCATACTACTCAGAAGATTGCGAGTGAAACAGATTCACCCACCTGAGGCTTGCTCCTGCCTCTAATACCGGCGATAGAAAGTGCCCAGCACGTTGCTGGTCGGGTTACTGTTCTCGTCACCTCAGGCGTCAACTCCTTGTCTATCTCTTCTCCAAAATATGACCGATTGCAGGGTAAACTAACTATGGACCAGGATCTGCAAGTATTGTGTTTTGTGTACCCCAGATGTGGGCCAACTTATAAGGACGCGTCCGAGACATAGGTCTCCTTGGCGTAGTTTAGACATAGATGACGCTGGTTGACATTGGCGTTCTTCCATTTTAACCAGGGGCATCTAGCTCTCCATGCTATTGCCACATGTCGTCCATGGTCCGCGACGTTCTTAAATGCAGCTGTTTTAGGCCGCGCCAGGCCGTGCCGGGAGGCCACGTGACCCAGATGACCGGCTCCTTTGCACGAAAGTGGTTGTCATGGTACGTCTTGGAACGGTCGGCGATAGTTACATGTGTTTTAACGCAAATATATGTGATTCGATTGATGGACATGACTATGACAGTGGACAATTTAACGGGCGGCCTCGTTTCGACAACGCTGCAAGTGATGCCTGGCGACCGTGGACCCTCGAGTATTTGTTCACATACCTATTTGAGTAATTAGGTTGTTGGTCGCGAGGGGAAACTAGGCCCATCTTGTCGAGTCTGAGCAAGATCCATGTTATACCCTTTCTTCAGGTTTGGGTCAAAATCAAACCAGGAATTGGACCAAAGGTTCTAATCCTTGTTTTCATTTAAAAAGTTTCCATTTTGTCTACCTACTGTGGATGGACGAAATCCATTTCGCACCACTTTGAAAGTATGGTTGAAGACATTGTTTGTTGGTATTTACAGGGGATCAAAGCATTCTAGGATTTGTGAACGCTGCTGCGTTGCATGGATTTCGCAACCATCCACAGTATGTTTGACCCATAGCCATTTGAATCATGTCTTCATAGTTCCAGCCCCATCCGATCCCTCTGTGTTGCCCACCTACTGCCGCCGGCCTGGCTGCGTAGGCGAGCAAGAATGATGACCAGTTCGTCAAGGATCAGGACTTAGGGAATCGATTGGCGGAGGGGTGGGTGGTCCAGAACCCGAAGGAACCCTAAGGAGCTGTGAGGAACTGAAAGGAACAGTAAGGAATTTTAAGGAACGCTGAGGAACCCTAAGGAGCTGTAAGGAACTCTAAGGCACCCCAAGGAACCCTAAGGAACCCTAGGGCACTCAACTAGCCATCCTCCATGTACCTGGCTCGCACTTGGGGTTCCAGAAAGGAGCAACGGCGTTTCGTCCCGACGGGGCAAGAACCCTCCGACTTAGAACGCTCAGCTCACCCTGTGAGTTCCTGGACTTGCTCCTTTTTCTCAGTCGCCCAAAGCGAATGGACCTGTCATGGCCCCAAAAGGTTAGCCATTTATGTTCAGGCCCTTTCGGCAAATGAGTTTTTGGGTGTGGCTCAAAATTAAACGGCTGGGGTTACACAGGCTTTACTCTGAGTTTCCACGCACCAAGATGCCATTGTGGGTGCCATTGTTGAGCCACAGCCTTTTGGAACCGTTTTAGTGGTAATCGACAAATTCAGACTTTTTGGCTAATCCACTTGATCGGAAGTGATGCAACGCATTCTAATTATGTCGGTTTAGCGATTTGTGTGGTTGGCATGCCGGATTGTCTCGGGCATGGGATGGATCAAAATGAATGCTCCGAAGTGTTTGCCGGATTGCAGTTCCTGGTGCTCCATCAAATCAGAGAGCTCATGCCTTCCCCTCGTCAGTTCATCGCAGGTGAAATTCGGGTACTGTCTACCTCTGATTCATAAACTACCCACCCACCCCCCAAACAACTCCCTCCCCCAAACAGTTCCCCCAAAAGTTCTCCCAACGGTATTCAGGGGAGGTGTTTCAATCATAGGTTGACATTAAAAAGCAATACCGGATGCCCTTGAGATGAAATGCAATGGATTCCACGATTGAGTTCAATTACTCCCTACTCCCAATACCCATTGTTTCTAGTTTGTTGTTTTGTTTTTGTTAATCTGGTTTTTCAAGGTAAATACCTCCTTTTTTAGATGAGGGTCGACATGATACCCTAAAAAAGTGGGTATTTGGAGTCGACCTCAAACACCTCCCCAAACAGAACCTGCACCTAGCACCAGCCCATCAATCTCGCAAATCACTTTCCCCTCCTTACTAGAAGTTAGAACCCCTATTAGCTTTCAGCTATTTGGGGAAACACGCACACCCATGTATGCGAGGTTAGTAAACTAACACCATTCTCCCAGGTAGGTGACCCAGAGTTCAAGTCCCACCAAAGCCTCGAGGCCTGCGACTTCTGATTCCATGGCCGCGTTTGCTTGGCTACAAAATGGTTGATAGGTCTATGGAGTTTGGGGTTACAACATCCACCAACAAGCAAATGTGACCGCACAAAGGAGAGATGTGCGCTCCACCATCTCTTTGAGGTCCTGATTGCTGATGTAATTAGGTGTACATGTTGATGTTGGTTCTCATTGCAATGGGACGCTCCACCTGATCCAGTGTGCAGAAGTACTTTGAACGAGCTCAATACGCGAACTGGAGAATCTCTGGGCCTTCAAACCCCTTCTGATGCGTTTGTTGTTCTCTGCGAGGAGGAGCAGCGCGAAAAGGTCTTGAATGAGGCCGAACAGGCGCGGTGTTTTGTTTCGTTTTTCTGGCAACTGTGAAACGTGTTACCTTCGAGGCATTTTGGGGCGGAGTTCTCAAGCTTGTTTCTGTTGGCATTTGTACAATCTTCCTAGCATTTTGACGGTAAATGTTTTCAAAGCTCAGCCATTGTTTGGCCAATCCATTCGGGAAGTAAGACAAAGGGAAACTGGAAGGAAACCAACTGGTTTTGGGGGACCAGCTCAGCAACCACTTGCATAAACGGTTTGATGTGTATTGTTAAAATGCAGCAGTGGGTAGTTCGGTCCTCAGTTTATGTTTCTGCACCCTTTCTCATGACGCCCCTGATGGGAGCTTGCTCAACCTGTCTGGTCAAGGGCACGCCTCTTCCCCTTCTCGCCTCCCGAGTTTTTGGACTGTTGACCCATTCGATCGGAAGTGAGCTTTAGATGTTCAAATATGGAGAGCTTGGAGTCGGATTTCTCACATCTCCCACTAAAAGCCACCGCTTTCTTTGCCATGGATCAATAGGCCACTTAGCATCCCATGGGTGGAAGCTCGTGCCAACGACTTGTCGCTTGATGCGGCCGCTCCTTCAAGTACCCACATGTTTTGCTTTATCCTCAACTAGGTCCCCCAGTAGTGCCCTTTCTCACCCCTTTTTTGGTGGGGAGGCTTCCCCTACTCAAATAGACCATGCAGAAAAAAGATCGGGTACCAACTTCTTCTAATTCCTCTCAAATCAGGAGGACCTAGCCTTGGGTGACCCCCTACTAAAATAGACATAACTTAAAAACAATCTGGCACCCTTATTCTAATTCCTCTCAACTCTGGAGGACCTAGACTCAAGTGACCCAAAGCACCCCATGCTCCACCCGCGGGCCATCCGCGGCCAGTCACCCGCTTAGGTCTTCGGCATGCTGAACGAGCGCGCCAAGAAAGCCAGCACCGAGGCGGAGGAGCAGGCGGAGCGAAGAAATGGGGATCAGCTGAAGGGTCTCCTCCACAAGTTCCACCCTGGACCCGGAAAAAAGGCGGAAAAAATGGACAGCTTGGGGGGTCTCCTCCGAAAATCCACCCTGGAGCCAGAAAAAAAGGGAATTCACACCATAACTTTACCTAGAGTCTCCATTACCCTAAAGAATGGGGTCATGGACCTATTTTTAAAGGGTCATGGAGAATCCAGGTAGGGTCTCCTCCAAATCCACCACAAACCCGAAGAATCTACCCAGAAAAAAAAGGAAGTGAGTTCACTAACCATAGTTTTAGGTTGCGACCACCCATGTTTAAGTTGGTATTGTGAGGGGTCCAGGAAGATTCTTAGCTAGGCCAACTTCCATGTGCTGAAACGAATATTTGTTGTGTTTCCACGTTGGTGTTAACGGGAATCAATCTCTGCTGAAGCAAGTGCAGCCAATTAGGCAGAATATGAACATTTGTTTACCAGATTTGTGGACCCAGGACTGCATAAAGCCCCGGTTGAGTCATGTCCCATTTTATGCTCGGGCCCAAAAACTTGGGAAACGCAACAGGCCCCACAACCCCCACGCTGAGTTGTACGGGGCCAACATTCAGATTTCTCTACGGGGTCCAACTTTGAGTGTTGGCATCGGCGATGAGATCTCACGTTATTTGTTTGTCGGGTTCTGCCCCAAGTTTGTGTCACATCCAGTTGTTCATCAGTCCCTGAGAAAAGTGGACTTCATACTTTCTTGCATTTGCTCAAGAAGGTTTTTGTTTTTTCGGTTTGACTGTTCCCTCGCTGGAGTTTCAAAGCGAATCGATCTGACTGCTGGGCACGTGTGGATATTTTTTCCAGGGGGCCGCCCCTGTCGCAACTGGACGCTTCTTGGGGACCATTGGCCTCCCATGGCTTGTTCTTGAACCAAAAAACGGGCGGCGGCCTACTTTTTTGTTCGGCGAGGTTCTGATTCGTTTGTTGTTTTTTCTTTCTTTGGCCATAATTTTAAAGGAGGAACCACCTCCAACGTGGTTGGTGGACACAAATTCCCACCTAGTCGTCTTTTTTCCTTTGGTTTGTCCGTTGATTCCCTTGGATGCCCTCTCATTCCTCTTGGAAAATCGCTTTTTTCTTTGGTTTGTCCTTTGATTGCCTTGGATGCCCGCTGGATGTTCCCTTTTGATGCCTTTGGTTTTTGGCTAGATTCCCTTCTTTTGAGCTAGATTCCCTACTTTGTTCGCTTGTCCATTTGGTTTTTCATTTTGATCCTTATTGATTTGATGCCGTCTCGTTCCTCTTGGAAAACGGTGCTTCCATACCTGGACCCCCAATGGACCGCCCTATTTCCTGCAGACCCCTAAACAAATGGCACAAGGGCAGAACTGTTTTTTTCCTTTGGGGGTACAGGTATTTGAGATACTCAGACGGACGAAATGAAGGCTGCCCGGCTTTGAAAGCATGGTTGAAGCCATCGTTTGCTGGTATTTACAGGGGAATTGAATCCGCGTGTCTGAAGGGTGGTGCTTGGTCTCGGATTTCGCAACCACCCGCAGCTCCAACTGGCGCCTCTCCCCTCTCGACAAAGCGACAAAGCGCCCCACCGCCCGACAGCCCGCGGCAGGTGAAGAAGTGGGAGGCCGGCGAGGGCGGCGAGCTGCTGCAAGCGCTGAGCAAGGGGGAGGCGGTTTGCCCCGGGTGGAGTTGGGGAGGGGAAGAGTCAGGTGACACCATGTTTTGTGTTTATCCTTTTTTTTGCCTTCAGTGTTTTTGTTTTGCATATATGTACGGGAACATATGTAGGTGTATATATATATATATACATGTATATATATATATACATATGCAGAAAGCCGGACTTGTTGAGATCTCCATCCGCCCCAACTTTGACGGTCGGTCAGGCCCGAGTAACATTGCGTTACTCCACACCATCGCCTACACATATGCATATACATATACATATAACTACAATATATATATATATATATATATCTATGATTCCTCGTTTGTTTTGACATGTCAAGCAGCCATGTGAGCTACGCTCCACATTGTTTCTGGCAAAGTAGTGCCTGGTTTTGTGGTTTGGTGTGTGGTTTCAGAGGCTACCTTTTTGAAAGGTTGGCTGAAAGGGAAATCAGCAGGATAACCGCAGAAAATGGCTAATGGGATAAGTCTAGTACAAGCCTTGTCTAAACTAGAATAAGCCTAACATGTCTTCCTAACAAACACGGAACTTTCTTCCCATGTGTCCACTGGTGACTTCGATCTTGTTCTGGTGAACAAGCCAGCGCTGTGTGAATGCAACGAAGGCTCGTCTTTCGTTGGGGCCTTACGGGGCCAAATGATGGTTTGGTCATTCCTGGCCAAGCCGACTGGGTGATGAACCGCCAGTACCTGGACCCTCAAAGATTCAACTTCAAAAACATGTTTTCTTTGCGACCCCGAAATGCTGAATTCCCTTTGTTTTAATGGGTAGTTAGGTTGCGGGTCCAGGTAATTTTGTTTTCCAACATGGACGAAGGGCATCAGCATATCATCACACACCCTGCATGGAATGCTGGGTTGATTTCTCACTGAGTTCCCATGTCAAAGGAGTCACTATCAAGCTTGCTTGTGGCTCAACATGGGTCTGGTATGAGTTTCGATCATGATCGTGGCACGGCTCCCTTTCAAAAAGGGAAATGCACTCAGATCAGTCATCAGTTAGTGCATATGCTACGACTACATTTTCATGTTTGTAGATGGCTTGAGTTGATACATTGGCTGATTTAAAGCTTGGTGAAGGATGTTTGTTGTTGTCTCTTGGTTGGGGGAGGAGTCTGTATCTCCCGGCACCAAGTTTGCAGGGGGCGACGAAGTTGCACGAGATGCTCGGTCAGCTGATAGCCCAGTCCGAGACAGTACCGTGCGTGCTTGTGAAGGTTCAGGTCGGAGGGGTCTTCATATTGTTCTACGGTCACCGGGAAGCAGATACATAAAGACGCAAATACCTGAAGTAGGTACTAAATTAGGGGATCTCAAAGCTCTGTTTGTATGTCTTGTATTTATAATCCATTTTAAATCCCTTTAGCATCCCTCTGATTCAGTTTCTATTTACTTCCAGTTTCGAGCCGGAATTCAAGACATTGCGACCGCCAGTTCGATTCCAGCTCCCATGAAGCCTCGCCCCGCCGCGTTGCCGAGTTCCGGGCGTCCTTTTCTTGAGAAAACGTGCTGCAGTATAGATCTGGGTGAGTTATAACGACCTCACACGACCGAATTCACCCCAAATGGTGGTTTATGTGGGGAATAGCCCCCCAACCACCGCAAGTTTCAGGTTGGTTAAGTAGTATAATTCACCCAGATAGATGGTAGTTTACATGGGTGTGTCAGCATGCGTGTCGAAGATTAGGGCCCCTCCAAACATTTGGTGCTGTTATTTTCGTGTCCAAAAACGCTTCCTGAAGCATACCTTGCTATGACACAACCATGGCAGAACTATTTGTGAAGCGACGATGCAAAGAGAAACAAAAGACCCCAGGTTTCTGGTATATTGGCAGTAGTCTTTTCGAGATGTGTCAGCATGGCGATACATTTTGTGGGTGTGCTTCCTAGTCACGTTGCCAGCTTGATGACAGTCAAGGGCGACCATGCTCAGGCAGCGCTATTTGGCCGATCTCTGCTGTTCATGGGATCGCAGTCATGAAACGTCACGGCATGATATTTGCCCTTGCTACTTCCCATGTGCCGGTGAGCAATGAGCAGAAGATCCGAGGTTTGTACTTGCTGAGCATATGTTCTAGTGGTTTGCGCGGTTTTTACGCCACATTTCCCAGGGAAACCCATCTAGTTGAGAGGCTGAGTATGCTTCTCGTTGCAATTGTGACCTGCTAGCTTGTCCCACATTGATCCAGCCGGTGAGTATTGTCACCGATGTACGACTTGCCGCGGCTGAGGGTGGACGTTCAAGGGATGGCCTCCGACTACGCGCAGCAGGCACGACCCTGGTAATTGGAGGGTAAGGGACAATCCCCTGGCCACAAAACTAAACCACCAGGGGAGCGCAGGTCTTAGTCCATGTTTCCATTTGCCAGCGTTCCATTTCGGGTACCTATTTTTGACCCACAGCCCATGACGTGGTGCGGAATTCCGCCTTTTCAATTCTTGAAGCATGGTTCTGGGGATCGACCATTTTAATGCCGATCGGTTTGATTATGACTCATGTGTGGACTGATGTTGTATTTTCCTAGCCGATATTTTCTGCGCATAGCTCAGCCGCATATATTGCAAGCATATTGATGTGTACATAAGGCCCAGGACCTGATTTCCAGTTGCTCATGGGCAAAGGGCATTGTGTGACTTATGTGTGTGTGGTTTGCACAATTCAAAGGGTTGGGTTACAGGAAATTCTGCAGAACACCAGCTGATTAAGGGTGCTTTGGGGCCATTTCCTGCAGATTTTGCTGTAATCAAACCCTTTGCATCATGGAATCATCTGACCTTTGCCTTTAGTCTTCCCGTTGCTCCCAGGTTTGAACAAGTGTCTGGGACCCCTTAAGCTACTGTTTTGCAGTGCACATCCTGAGCAATAACGTTTGGTGTACTGACTTTGGGAGTGCTGGGGTGGACCTGGAGAAAACTGTCTGATGCAACAGGCGTCCAGTAATTAAGGAGAAGTTTACAACTCCTAGTTGCCCCAAAGCTGTCTCAGGTGTTTTCCAGGCGCCAAATGGGATCCAGAGGTCTTTGGTCCGTGTGCAGCCAACCCAATTTGTCCCGAGCGAGTGACTGAGAGGCGCAGCAGGCAGCCGGAGACCTCCAGAATCAGGAGAAGCGCTGCGTGTTCGAAGCTGTGGAGTCCTGGGATCGAGGGCCATTAGACCTGAGAAATGGGTCTGCCTGCAACCCCTGGATATAGCTGGCTTCCCTTTGTACCAGCCAAAAAAGTGTATCATAAAGAAACCGCCCGCCCTATGTTCCTTTGTTTGGAGGGGGTTTCCCTGGTTAAAGTCGACTCCCAACAAAAAGTGCCTGCCCCCTTTTCCCCCCTTTTCTCCGTACAAATCCACTTCCAACAAAAAGAAGCGCCCCTTGTTCCCGCGTTTTCCCCGACAACACACACTTCCAAGAATTTGTTTCCCGCGTTCTCCCCGTAAAAAAACCACTTCCCAACCAAACGAAGCGCCCCCCTTTCCCCCGTTTTCCCCGTGGCCCGCGCGGGTTTCGGGGCCGTTTTCGTCCGGGTCACTGGAGAGCTGGGCGGCGCCAGGAGTGGGTCCAGGACGCGGCCAGGCAGGCGCAGGCAGCGGCGGAGCAGGCGCAGAAGAGCAGCCAGGACCCGAAGCCGAAGAGAGAGATTAATGAGGAATGGGCCATGATGAGGCCACTGCAACCTGCCATTTTCTGAACAGTTTATATGTGTATATACTATGTTGGTTTTAAAGGAGTTTTCTGAACATGTTTGTTTTTTAAACAAGTGTTGGTTGTAAAGGGAGTGAATGAGCCACTTCCACTTCCATTTTCTCGAGTTGTTTTTTTTCTTAACAACAATAAGACAAGTGTTGGCTTTAAAGGGAGTGAATGAGCCACTTCCACTTCCATTTGCTGAACATAATATGTTCCATGTTCTTCCGTTGGTTTTAAAGGGAGATGAATGAGCCACTTAAAGAGGGGGGGGGGGGTACTTCGCGGTGTTTGAAGAAACAGGACCTCCCAAATGAGCCTGCATTGCGGGTGAGGCCGTTCAATTTCTCCCCCAATATGGACCACTAATTCCCTACGTAAAGGGGCAGGGTACTGAGTAAGTGGTTGGTAAGCCTGGTAAAATAACCCACTGACTGACGGAGACATATCAGCATGGCTTAAGTGGGTTGCAACCATGGCTACTGACCACCTACCAGGTACAATGCCCAAATACTGTGCTTGGTGTCGTTCAACCAGCGAATCGTCCGCGTCCAGAAAGTTTTTGAGTTTTGTTTAGTTGGTGTAGTGCATGGCTGGGTTTCCTTATTCAACCCACAATTTAAACTTGAGCAGGGGATCTGAGGACAGCCCAGTTTTGATGGACAAATTCCAGAAACCAGTTAGGATGGGTGAAGCACTCTGCTTACTGAGATACACTACCTGCCAACTGGCGCAAAGCGGAGTTTACCCATCCATCGTATTGCAACTAAACCAGCACTCAACCACCGCACCTGGTAAATGGCTCCGCAGATAGGGCTCCCCATGTTCCCTGGCTTTCAATACTTGCCCGTCGCCCTGTTGATGTTTCACCATGGTCCGGGTTACACTTTTGAGTATCAGGGTTTGATTGGGCCCCCTCCTGTGTCAGAAGCGTTCTGAGAGGCCTTCTGAGAGCTTCCTTCAAGGAGGCTCTAAGAAACGAAGCCTGCATCCCATGGTGTCTTGAATGTTGAGCGTCTATTCGACTTTTGTCGATGCTGTCCTTACAGCTATGGTTCTGATTTCGAATGGGACGACAACAACAGAATTCACCGTATTTGGCATGGTTATCATTGGTGCAGAGGTTGCATGCAGCTGTTGGACAGAAAGTTGATGAGGCCCTTATTGGAATGAGGGTACTTGTGTTTACATCACGGCACATCCTAAGGAGCATACGTTTTGCTCCCTGGTCCCCATAGAGGCACTTTGCCATGATTTCCTCAACTTGCGTGGAGACATGAAATAGTCTCCAAACGATCCTCGTTTGCACACATGTGTTTGTCAGATTCCATGCGAGCAGCGCCCAAAGCACCCTGTTCCAGTTGGCCATCTTAGTTGCTTCTACTACCTTGGGTGATATTTTGAACAATCATAAACCTTTGTCACCATGTTGGTAGAATCCACAGTCAAGAGAATCGGGGGGCGCTTCTCATGTATGTTTGCAGGGGTGAAATGACTGAGCCATTCGCATTCGCAGGACATGATGAACAGCTGGGCACCCAGACGCGTTTCCGAAGTCGAAGGCATTTGTTGTTTCTGGTTGAAGCCAGGTGATAGGCTCGGTACCCACAAAGCCGGGTCAGATGAAAGGGAAACCAAAAGGGAGCTACCAAGTCTGCGGGTCCAAACACTACTTTGTCAGGGTTGCGGGAACAAGGGTTTTTCTCTCGCTTCTGTGATACCAAGAAACCTCCCCTTTCAATGGATACGCTGGCCAGACAATAGTTGCGCTTCTTGAAGGTCTGAGCGACTCGATCCGCGGCTGACCTGAAACCCTTTTCAATCAGGCAAGAAGCATAAACTGTTGTCTCACTGGAGGGCAGTACGTATAATTTCGTGGCACTCTGGTACGTTCAACCTCTGCTGTGTACATTGACTTTTGGCGACAAAAGGCGAGTCAGCTTGAACTCAACGCAACACCCATGCCGTAACGCAGGGCAGCACGCATAATTTCGTTTTCACCTCTGTACATTGACTTTTGGCGACAAAAGGCGAGTCAGCTTGAACTCAACGCAACACCCATGCCGTAACGCAGGGCAGCACGCATAATTTTGTTTTCACCTCTGCTGTGTACATTGACTTTTGGCGACAAAAGGCGAGTCAGCTTGAACTCAACGCAACACCCATGCCGTAACGCAGGGCAGCACGCATAATTTCATTTTCACCTCTGCTGTGTACATTGACTTCTGGCGACAAAAGTTTGAACTCAACGCAGCACCCCTGCCGTAACGCAGGGCAGTACGCATAATTTCGTGGCACTCGCGTATGTTCAACCTTTAAGCTGTGTACATTGACTTTTGGCGACAAAAGGCGAGTCAGCTTGAACTCAACGCAACACCCATGCCGTAACGCAGGGCAGCACGCATAATTTCGTGGCACTCGCGTATGTTCAACCTTTAAGCTGTGTACATTGACTTTTGGCGACAAAAGGCAAGTCAGCTTGAACTCAACTTAACACCCCTGCCGTAACGCAGGGCAGCACGCATAATTTCGTGGCACTCGCGTATGTTCAACCTTTGCTGCGTACATTGACTTTTGGCGACAAAAGGCAAGTCAGCTTGAACTCAACGCAACACCCCTGTCGTAACGCAGGGCAGCACGCATAATTTCGTGGCACTCGCGTATGTTCAACCTGTGCTGTGCACATTGACTTTTGGCGACGAAAGGCAAGTCAGCTTGAACTCAATGCAACACCCCTGCCGTAACGCAGGGCAGTAATTACGCATAATTTCGTGGCACTTGCGTATGTTCAACCTTTGCTGCGTACATTGACTTTTGGCGACAAAAGGGAAGTCAGCTTGAACTCAACGCAACACCCCTGCCGTATCGCAGGGCAGGACGCATAATTTCGTGGCACTCGCGTATGTTCAACCTTTAAGCTGCGTACATTGACTTTTGGCGACAAAAGGCAAGTCAGCTTGAACTCAACGCAACACCCCTGCCGTAACGCAGGGCAGTACGCATAATTTCGTGGCACTCGCGTATGTTCAACCTTTGCTGCGTACATTTAATTTTGGCGACAAAAGGCAAGTCAACCCAAACTCAATACAACACCCCTGCCGTAACGCAGGGCAGTACGCATAATTTCGTGGCACTCGCGTATGTTCAACCTGTGCTGTGCACATTGACTTTTGGCGACGAAAGGCAAGTCAGCTTGAACTCAATGCAACACCCCTGCCGTAACGCAGGGCAGTAATTACGCATAATTTCGTGGCACTCGCGTATGTTCAACCTTTGCTGCGTACATTGACTTTTGGCGACAAAATGCAAGTCAGCTTGAATTGAACGCAACACGCCTGCCGCAACGCACTGGCCAGAGTTGCGCTTCTTGAAGGTCTGCGCAATTGCAACCCTTTCCCTCAAGAATCCTACGGGAAGAGACCTACAAAGTTGTGCGCGGTTAATTTCGGACCTGGCAAGGCCTTTTATCATTGTACATTTAAACAGGGTGATAATTGACCGTCCCACGCCTGCCGCACAAAATGCACTTGTTAATTCGATCCGACCTGAAAACGTCTTTTCAAAAAAGGCAAGAAGCGTAAACTTTTGTCTGACTGAAGTAAGTGGTCATTTGGCAGGCCTTACAATTGTATCACAGAAGTGGGTACTTCACACAACAGGGCAATGGTTGGCATGCAAGCGCCCAACGGAAAAGCCTTGTGATATCCCGTAAGACCTGGCACGCACCTCATATTGCGGCCGATACGGGGCAAGTCCCTGGTCCCTTGAGCCTCACAGAAACCGAACAATATGCGTTGTTGGAGAAATCAACTATGATGGCCAACTCAGAGAAGAGAACCCAGGAGCCAGGCAGACTTCAATGATAAGTCATAATGCGATGAGATTCACAGCTAGTGAATTGCAGTTGCTCGCTGCTGGATAGTGTGGCGAAGTGTCATGCAACAAACTGGGCAACTGTGTGGGTTGCGAATGTTCAAATCTTAAGAGCACTTCTTGGTCTGCCTTTTTGTGCCGATGAAAGGAGCACGCATTGGGGCAACTCATAGGAGCATTCCCATTGTTTCCAACCGTTTGTGGTCAACTTTGACAGGTCATTTATTCGAGTTAATCTCATGTAGCCACTATGGCTCGAAAGCGACCGCGTTGAACTTCTTGAACGATACTGTCCAGGAAGCACATAAACGGCAGCTTTTCTCGCATGACATTGGGCTGCTGAATGCTGTCACGCTTTTGCCAAAAAATTAAGCCACCGCGGTGCAGGTGGCTTACCCTGCCGGCAGGCAATTTTCAGTACATTCTGGATGATGTGGGTGAGACCTGCAAGCCATATATGGGCCAGCCCCTAGCAGAAATGAGCCCTAGTCGGAGAGGTTTCCTGCTGGAGCAGTTGGGTCAGAAGTTGCTCGAGCGATCGCAGCCTTTTTGCAAACTGGAGGATGCAGGCAGGGATGCCCCCTGGGATTTCACCATTGATGGCAAGAAGGCCGAATTCAAAAGCGCGCAGCTGGCATTCGAACAGGGTGGAAATAAGTGGGGCGTGACGTTTAGAAATGTGAAGTTTGCCCATCCCGAGTACAGGGACACGGCGCTTTTTGATGAGTTGTATCTTATGATTTATTCCCCTGCTGGCCTTCACTTGCTGCGGCATGACTTGCAGACAAAGATTTCCTCACAAGGGATGCACACCGGTTGCTCAGGGCATAAGATACACGTTGCCGGACGAAGTGGAGATGGTTGGAGCGCGGGGTTAAGATGTGTTTTGGACAAGCTGACCCAGGAAGGATCCTGCAAGTTGCTGACAAGCATCAAGGCTTCAGATCCAATCTTGCGAGACCTGCTCACCTCGCATCAGATGAACCATGCAGTTGCCTATCAGAGTCTCGTGTACCAGGGTGTGCCTTTGAGCAACATGAATCCATCGCTCCGTGGGCTTCGGGTGCAACGGATCGCACAATCGATTGACCAGATGGTTCATCCAGGCTGCACATTTCTCGAGCGTGCGGTTGGCAACCGGCCGGCTGATTGGATCAGAGATGGCGTCCGCGTGGAAGTAAAGCATGCTCAGATGGTGCTCAGCTCGGACTCAATCCGGTTTCGCTGCGTGTTTTCGTCCATCAAGCCCAACTTGTTTGACGAGCTTTGGCTTGTGATTTACAGCCCCGTGGGCCTCCACATATTCAAGCACCACGGGTCATTTTGCCTGTCCAGCGCTGGAGCGCGCTCTGACGTTGCTGGAAGAAATATTTGGATCGTAGGGCCGGCTAACCAGCGGTGCCCCATCCAAGCACTTCAAGCTATGAAGCAGAAGCTTCAGACGGGAGGGTGCGAGGGGATAGCCGAGGTGCTGTGGTGAATTTGGACAGAGAGACCACGATGAGACAACTAAGTTGGCATCGCTCAAGGCGCCGCGTGTGCCCCAAGCACGGATCCATATTGACCTGAACGAATTGTTTAGTGACAAGTCATTGGCTGGGAGTGGCGGCAATCCAAGAGCCAGAACTCCAAGGAACAACTCCGGACTGAATAATTAGCCATCACTGTTTCCCTTGCTTCACAGCTCGCGTGGAGTGGCCTTTAGCCATCGCGTGTCTCTGCGGGAGCGTTCGAAACGCCGTTCATCATGCAATCTACACTTTGCATGGACAAAATTCATTTCGCACCCACTTTGAATCCGTGGTTGAGACCATGACGTTGGTTGGAAAAAAAGGGACATCGAGACATTCCGGCTTTCTGAACGGTGGTGCGTTGCATGGATTTCGCCTAGCCAGCTGTGAATGAACTCTTTGGCTAGTAGGGCGATGGCGCGTTGGATTTCCGCGTTTCTGAACGGTGCGTATTTCGTCCAACCCGCCGCCGCATTCTGGCGACACGGCCTGGCAAGCGGATCCTTCGAGCCACCCAGGCGAGCAGGTTCAGGCAGCCTTGGCCGCCGGGCAGGAGATGCGGAGGGGGACCTGGAGAATTGTCCTGTGGGAGCTTCACATTGACTGTTGCTTCATCAGCTCCTCTTTCATTTGTTTATTTTTTTGTAGTTAAACAAAAAAAACTTGTTGGTTTTACAGTGAATTTATGACTATACTGGAAATATGCTTTTGTTTTTTCCAGGGGACTTGAGCAGATGGAGGTCCTGTGATGCAAGTAGAAACCAGTCGAAGCAAGTCAATTTTGTGCTTGCTTCTTGGATGCAGCGGTCCATTCTGGGTGGAACGACCTCAGCCACAACAGCTTGGGGGGATCCATTTCCCCAAACACCCCAGTTCATTCAGATGATTATTAAGTTGATGCGCTGTGGGACAGCCTTTCCTGATGCTTTATTGCCTTTCCTGTGGGATCTGTGGCACCCCTCACGCTCCACTTGGTCTAGGTCCAGTTTACCTGTATGCAGCCCAGCTTGCAAGGAGTCCGACGCATCTTACACAAGCTGTTGCATGGACCGCCTGGAATGCAGATAATGACTATAATGCCCGCTGTGCCTCAAAGAGATTCCGCGGGTCAAACTCTGAAAGCTTGGCCAGTTGCTATCGAGTTCGGCCAGTGTGGTTGTTGGCATTGGGCAGGGTTCTGTCTGCGGCCATTGTGCTTTTGCCACTTCAAGTTTACGGTTCCGAGAAGGCTCTACTGGATTCTCCTCATATTTCCTTTTGACCAGCAACAAGATAAAACTTTTTGCTGGGGGACCTTTGGCGCCCAAGAAGCTATTGCCCATTTTTTGCCCGGCTGGTTGGCACATCTGGAGGTCAAGTGGAACACCAGCTTGGCTCAGAGCTCGAAGCCAGGGCCCCCTTTAGCCCTCACGGCCAGATTTCGCAAGCGACCCGGGGGAGTCTTTTCGATAGTGGGATACTCTTCACTGACGGGTATGTTGCAGAAAGGGCTTCTTTGAACAAGGCACAGTGGATGAGTCGATGAGGCAAACACATGCTTGTCCCATAAGATTCATGATGCATGCAACACATAGAAACCAGAACCTCCTTAAGCACGTTGTGGCAAGGCGAATGAGAGCAGTTTGTTGTGAGCGCTTCTTGCCGTAGTTTGAGTCATTGCGCCATGCCGCGCTCCCGAGGCGCCAAGTTTCATTGTGTCGGGGTGGCTTCACGGCTCGGGCATGGAGGGCATAGGCTGGAGTGGAACCCGCCCAAAAGTGGAGGGTCACGGGGTCTTGGGATGGGCTACTCAGAAAGCTCTTGCTGGAACCTTCAGTCCGACTTTGCACCAAGAAGTTGTAGGCAGCCATTGTGAGGAGATATATGCACACCCTGATAACCAGGTGGCTTGCCAGGCTCGCCAGACACTTTGATCTGGACAACACATGACAAGGCAGTGGCACCTTCCTTTCCAAGACGCTCATTTTTATTTTTTATTTTTAATAAAAAAAAGAAGGCACAAACACGCGTCAGCCGAAACCAGCTAGTGAACATGACCCCATGCCTTAAAATGAAGACACCATCTTATCGCGAACGCCCACCGCGCCTCCTCCGCCCACAGCTCGGGACCCTTCGAAGCGGCCTGACTGGTGCAGGCGGCCTGCTGGCGCTAGCGTTGGGCTTGCTGCCCTGCTTTAGCCTTGTGGGCAGGCGAGACATCTCGATGTGGGAGTTTGTGGAGACATCCATTCAGAAGAAACCCGGGGTGCTGCATGATTAGCCCATGATGTATGCACGTACATGCACACAGACATACATACACAAACACATATATATATATATATGTAATACACACGGTGTGCATATTTCCCAAAAGGGAAACCGACTGGGGTAGTCAAGTGTGAGTTTGCCCGACCTTATTTCGCACACGGAGATGACCTCACAGAAGGGGAGTTGCGCCCTCACCCAGAAAGGTCTGTCCCTTGGGATTTCTCAGGCTGGTGACTTGTTGAAATGTGTCCACGTCCGCTGTCCGGAGGGAGAGGGGCGTGCCTCACACTTGCGTGAAACCCAACATAGCTTCGCGCCAATGAGGCGCACATTGTTCATTGTTTCTTTGGAACTCCTTGGGTATTCTCAGAATAGGGTCCTAAAATGGTTGGTTGGTGTCCTTTTGGTTTGCCAACCAAAAGGGGATCCACCATGTTGAGAGACTTTATGCTTTTGAGGGCACTCAACCGCAGATTCACATGGAACCCACCCCCGAAACCTTCATTTGTAAAGAAACCTCCCTTTTGGGTGACTCTCTGTTTGGGCAGCTCAGTATCTCAGCCCGATCCGAAGCTCAGGCGGGCGCAGCTGGTGGATGTGCCCCGTGCCCTGGGCGCAAAGACGCTTTGGGAGTCGATTGGTTTTCCTGAAAAGTGGGGCCACAAGATACACCCTGAAACCGTTTGGAGCGTGAAGCTGACTTCCCGAGTTTCTGGCCTTGAAAAGTGTTTGACAAGATCGTTTCTGTGGCAAACAAGAAGCTGATACTCGTTGTGGGCAATCCTCTCCTCACTTGCCCAAAGCCGACCTTTTGACCTTTTGATTTTCCCCTTTTGGTCCATTTTTAGTAAAGGTCCCAAAAGGTGATCACCTTTTATTTCTGGGTCCTTTGGGCAACTGAGTCTCAGGAACTTGAGACGTATTGTTTCTGGTTGTTTGGTTGGATCTTTGGACATCAGCTTTGTTGACACAGCTCGGAGGTTCCGAGTTGGCCCACGAAAAGGGATTTTACGTCTTGCAGGGTCGTTACAGCAACCGAGCAGGCTTCTTGGTTCCCAAGCCATCCGGCTTCTGGTTTTTAGGTTGGTTTAGCGGTAGTCTCCAGTGACCCCCCTAAAAACGGTTGGTTTCCCCGGTGGTTTCCTTTCAAGCCCACCGGAAAGATGAGCGCCCGGCCCCCGCTGCCCGCCCCCGGGCGAATTGCGCTGACATGTTGGCTCGCTGGAGCAAGGTGCGGCAGTGCAGCTGCCGGCGGCCTGGCAGCGAGGTGACCCGAGGTTCCTGACAACGTTGGGTCTCAAAAAGTTTCTGGAGCCTCAAACTGCCTGGAGTCTCCCCTTCTGACCCTTGAAAAATGGGATCATTACCCTAGATACAGGGCTCATGGACCTATTTTTGATTCAGGTCATGGAGACTCTAGGTGCCCATAAACCGGGCTGCTTAAAGGCAATCCTCAATCCTTACCTGGGTTACGCAAGGGCCCCCTATGTAGTGGCTTCCCTATTGGGAGTATGGATTGGGATTGGCCAACCCTCCATTTTGAACAGCCCAGATGAAAATGGGAAATCACCAACCAACATGTTGGTTGGGATAGAATTTGAATAGGCTTTCGGTACTCAAAGGGGCGATCGATTCGGTACGTCAGGCAAGTGGTTAGTAAGCCTGGTGAAATGACCACAGTTTCTCATGGTTACAAGTCTTCGTTCAGTGGGTGATTTCAGCAGGCTTAAGACGTAGTACGCGATCGCCCCTTTAAGTATCTCTGGTAGACTTTCAGCAAACCGGCAGTTTCCCTGCATTCCTTCGAATCAAACCCAACAACAAATATTGTCTCTTTTTTCTTCCTTTCCGTAAAGCAAGCCAAAACAGAACTTGACTGGTTCCATTGTTCGGTTTGCATCGACTCCTTCACCTGAGTCACCCGGGTATTTGGGGGCAGCAAGGGACAACCCCATTTGTAAATGGCTGCACATGGTTCGGGGATTGCGACCATTTTTATACCAAGTTCAATCATGACTTACTTGAGTAGGTTTTCTTTCCATGGCCACCTTCACCCGAGCACCTCACATTTGTTGCATTACTAGGTTTTTTTCAGTAGTGCCCTTTTACATTTTTTGGGGGAGGGTTCCCCTCTTAAAATAGACAGAAAAGAAAGGGTACCCTTATTCTAACCTCTCAAATCTGGAGGACCTAGTTTTTTCTGGGAAGGGGTGCCCTGTGGACTGAACCAAACCCAAAAAAAGGATGCCCGCTTTTCCCATTGAAATCCACTGGGCAACTTCCCATCGAATATACCAGGGTCGATCATGACTCACTCGATCCATTCGGAGCTCTCAGGACAGCCTCAGCGAGATCGAGGAGGACTTGGCGCTGCAGGCTGCGGAGCGGTACCAAGCCGTGCCCTTGGAGGCAGCCGATCCGGATCGGGATGGGGCGAGGTATTCTTTCTTGGCTTCGCTGTTGGTGGCATTGTTGTTTGGTTTGTTCAGGTGTTTGAGTTTTGTTTAGTTTTAGTGCAGGGCTGCAAAGTATTAGCTTCCGTACCAAGGGTTGTAAAGTTGTTGTTTGTATATTTTCGGTAGTTGTTTTTTGAGGGGGTAAAAGAGTCATTCTGGGGGACAAACCCAACGTGGACGTGTCAACTCGAATTGGGGAATCCCCCCAATAAAGTCGCCCTTTGTTTGGAACAGCATATTGGATGCAATCACATTTGCATCGTTCCTTTGCTAGCTGGCACTGCCAGCCCGGGGACTGCACTGCAAGGAATCCAGAAGGGGGGCCGGCATTGACAACGCCCCAGGTGGCATGAGTCTTTTGGTGGGGTCGCTTTCAATACAAACAGAGAAGGCTTCGGGTTGGAGGTGTCCTGAGATTGAGGAGTCATGGGTAGATCGCTTTAGAATGGGATTGTGTACTTCAAGAACCAGTTTAGTTGCGATGGGAGGAGTAAACAGCAAACTGATAATAAGTATCTGGCCCTTTTCCTCACTTGCTAAGTTCCTGAACCTTAGTCACTTTTTGGGTTTGGACCATTTTAGTGAATTACTGTCTTTAGCCAATCCCCTGGATCGGATGTGAGTTCCTGAAACTCAGTTCTTCAAAGCCAACCTTTTGACCTTTTAGTCTTCCCTTTTTGGTCCACTTTTCGTAAAGGTCCGCCTTTTACTTGCTTGTGCTCAGTAGGGAATGTGGGAATGACCCCAGGGGTCCCCTTAAGAGAAACCACCAGTTGGATGGTTTAGAAGGGTCATTCCATTTCTCATTCCCTGCCTATCGCACTAACCACAAGGGACGTTTTCTCTCCGGGTCATTCCCTCTTACTACAAAAAAAACAAAGGTGATTTCACCCCATACTTTTGGGGCTGTTACCCATGTTCAAGTTGGAATTTTGCGGGTCCAGGTATCTAGAGTCTCCGTGACCCTTCCTTTAAAAATGGGGTCATTGCCCTAAATAATGGGTCATGGACCTATTTTTAAAGGGTCATGGAGACTCTAAGTCCAAGATCAAATGAACCAAATAAATGGGAGAACGGGAAAAACATCACCAATCAGGGATCCCGGTAGCCTTCTGTTTCCAGGTCGATGGAGCTGAGCATCTGGAAACCATTGACTTCCATTTGCTTAAGTTTGTTTTAACCCTTCTTGGTTTTAAAAGGAACTTCTCACTACTGGACATATTTTGTTATTCTATTTCTATTTTTCCAGGGGTCTTAGCCAAATGGGCGTTGAGCTGAGTACCTGGAAACCCTGAAGCCCATCAGCCCGGGCGAAGCTTCGGCCAGCTGCCTGCCTGGGTCTCAGAGCAGCCGGTCACTGCAGCCTTCCTTGGCCCCGCGCGGCCGTCGCTGGAGAAGACGCCGCTCGGCCGCAGCCGTTAGACATGGCTTGCTGGTGCTCAGGGAATGAGGAAATGAACCCAACCATGCAACCGGCGGGTTTTCCTTTATTCGGGAATCCCAGAACGGTTCATTCCCAAACCCTTGGCGAATTTACTGAGTACCAGCAAGATGATGGGGGCATCCTTCCATTCACTCTTCTTGGATCGAGTGATTTGTATTTTCGATTGCTTTAAAATCAGTCTTTGGGGGTTCTGCTTAAATTTGGTTGGGCTGCAAACAAAACAGTCGGTGTGTCGTAACCCCACAGCAAGGCTTGTGAGGTTTCGACCCGGGCGTGGCTTCCATCTTCTTCCCGGGGCCGGAAGTTCAGGCGTCAGCCCATGTCCTTGTCCGCGTGCGAGTGTTTAATTGGGTGTCCCTAGGGACACTGCGGAATACAAGCTCCATGTTTTTGTTTGTCCTGTGGTGCAAGGATTTTTGGGAGCATGTCACTTGCTCCTGGTACAGCCGAAATCCTTCACAACCCAGCTTCGAACCTTTGTGTTAGGGGTTTGTTTCCGGTTTTTCCCCAATTCTCTCCCTTGTCGTGGGCGGTTAGGTGGAAATTCTCGCCAGCTTGCTTGCTGGCTCTCGGAACCCCGGATTGATACACCCATCCTATCAAGACCCACTAAAGTGATCCGGAACTTCCAAGCAATTGGATGACTCTTGTCCTAGGTCCCCCAACTCTTTTGGTTGGGAGGGTTCCACTACTAAAATAGACCATCCAGAAAAAAGTTGGTACCCTTGTTCTAACCTCTCTACTGGAGGACCTAGAATCAAGCAAGCAGTGAAAACCCACCCTGAAAAAAGAATCCCCTTGGTCCAATAAACATGGGGATGACCATTGGTTGGGTGTTCAGCCTCAGTTGTTCAGTGTCACCCTGTTTCCTTTTTTTGTTTGGTGGCTGCCCTACTAAAAATGGTCTTCCCGAAAAAGGGTTCCCTTTTCCCCAGGGTCACTGAACAACTGAGCAGCATATCTACTCAAATACAGGGGTGACATGCCAGCGAGGCCTCTGCTGCTGCTCCACGGCTTCGACTCCTCGGCCCTGGAGTTCCGGCGCTTGCTGCCGCGTTTGGAGCGGCTGGGCTTCGAGGCTGAATCGCGGGCGACTCGGGCGCGCGCCGGGGGCCGCTGGCTGGGGTTGCTGCAACAAACCAACGTCCCTTTTGGACAAACAAGATGGCACTGATAAAGAGTTAGGCAACTGAAGCCAGTGCAATCAAGGTCCCGGAATCTGTCCAAGCCACCGCAAACCAAGAAGCAAAAGGGAAACTGGTCTATTCTTCAAAACCAGCCTTTCAAAAGAAACATCCAGCCTCTAAGAGCCTCGACTTTGCTTCACTGTTGTTGATGGCTTGTTTGTAGCTGGTCTCCATTTGGCGTGTGAAATATTGGTCGATGTTTCCAACCTTTTGGGATCCCACATTGGATGGTTGGAGACCGGGGGCGATGAAGTGAGTCCGGCCACTTTCAGCAGGTCACCAGTGATGGAGCTGCTGTTGCACCGGGATCCCTGATTGCAGTTGGTGATGTTTCTCCCGTTCTCCCGTTTCTTTGGTTCATTTGATCTTGGACTTAGCAACCTGGAGTCTCCATGACCCGAAATAAAACTAGGTCCATGACCCCCATTATTTAGGGTGATGACCAACCATTTTTAAAGGGTCATGAAGTTAGGGACCTGGACCCTCAAAATGTCCAACTTAAACATGGGCTATAGCCCCAAAAGTATGGGGTGAATTCATGGAGTTCATGGAGCCCGGGCGCAGGGCTGAATATATGGAGTCGTGCCCGGGCGCAGTGAGTTGAGCATGGTGCAAAAGCTCGGAAACTCTGCTCGCTGTGTGTGGCTTTGGGGCAGCATGCGAGTTGCAGCACCTCAGCCAAGCGAAGGTAGTTGCCCAAGGCTGGTTTTGACATCACCCTTGGAGGCAATTTAGAGTGACATGTTTTGGGGAAATTTGGGACAAGGCGGTCATTCCAAAGGTTTCGCCTTTCGCTCCTTGACACTAGCAGTGGGGTTGGGCTTGTTTGGCCCAGTCTGCGAAGAAGACTTACGGATTCAACACACATACTGTGTCTTGACGTCGGGATAAGTCTTAAAATTCGAGTCAAAACAAATTTGAGAGGCAACGCTTACGTGTACGTCCACCTCCTCTTTGTTCAGTGAAAACGACGCAAGTTCACGAGTTTCAATCTATTGCATGCAGTGTGTATACATTGTATATATATATATATGTCAGCATTCATCCAGCTAGGGGATCCCACACCAGGTCGTCTGCCTTGTGGGGGTTTCCCTCACGAACAAGGGCAACTCCCTGGAATCTTCACCTTTGAAGGCCAATGTTAACCCCGCATTGATAAGCCCCTGGTTGATTAACAGAGGGGTGTCCCCTTTTAGGGATTCATCACTTTTGGAGGGAACACCTCCCTAATAATGGGACGGGTTTATTAATCCTGACACTATCTGGCAGGTCTACCTGCTGGATCTGCTGGGCTGGGGCTTTGGAGGGAAGGAGGGCGTCAAAGACTTCTCCCCGAAGGCGAAGCGCGCCTCCTCTCCACCGCGCTTCCGGAACGAAGCCTCTCCCAAGAAACCCCCAGCTGGGTGCCCTTTCTCACCCCTGATTTGGGTGAGGCTTCCCCTGCTAAAATAGACAAAACTGAAACAAAATCGGGTACCAACTTATTCTAACCTCTCTGGAGGACCTAGTCTCCCAAGAGACCCCAATGGTTGGTTTCATGAAGCGTCCACCTACTCAGTTGTTTAAAGCGAATCGACCTTTTGACCTTTTGGTTTTCCCTTTTTGGTCTAATTTTAGTAGAGGTCCCAAAAGGAGATCATCTTTTATTTGCAGGTCCTTTGGGCAAGTGAGCCTAGTGATCCCTTACGGATACGGATTTGTCTTGCAGCCGTTGCAGCCATCTGTGGACGGACCAAATCCTGCACCAGCTTTGTGTGGATGAAACCTTTCCACGAGGGTTCCACCAGGGTTCCACCAGCGTTCCACCAGCGTTCCACCAGGGTTCCACGAGGGCTCCACGAGGCTCTGCGAGGGCTGCGGGGTGATGCGAGCACCAAAAAGAACACCGCATGCTGCTGGGGATATCACCTGAGCTTATTTTTTCTGTTATTTTCCCTTGTTGGTTTTAATGGGAATTGATTTCACTCCTGGACATATGACAGGGCGCCTATCTGCACATTGAAGCCAACTGACTGACTAGGTCCCCCAGTAGTGCCCTTTCTCACCCCTTTTTGGGGCAGGGTTCCGCATTCTAACCCCCCCACCGGAGGACCTAGGTTTGCAACCATGGTTACAACCCATTTAGCATGGCTACAAGTCTCCGTTCAGTGGGTGATTTCGCCATGGTTACGAACCACTATAGTAACGTTGGGTTATAAACCACTGAACTAGTCTTTTTTTGGGAGGGCCCCTACTAAAATAGACAACATAAAAATAATTGGGTACCCGAGGACCTAGAAGTAGTCTTCCAGGACCGCCCTGTGGGGTTCCATGCTTGTGGATGGGCAGTTGTTTTCTCTTTGCCACGGTTTTGGTTTACCAGGCTATGACTCAAATGGCCCGGCCTTGGACCTGAGGCGAGCACATCTTCGCCTTCTGGTCGCAACACCTGGGATCTCGCCCCGCGGTGCTGGGCGGCGGCTCGCTGGGGGGCGGCATCGCCATGGACTTCGCGGTGGCCCATCCCCAGGCGCCGGGCCCCGGGCGCCGCGCGGGGCGGTGTGGGGCGTGTGGGGCGTGTCGCCGGGTGGGGCAACCGGGGGGGGGGAGGTTGAGGCCTCGTCTTCGCGAAAACGGGAAGACGGGGGAGGCGGGGGGAAACCCTTTGGTTTGCTGCAGGTCGCTGACATGTTCATGTTTTTGTTTTTTAGGTTTTTTGGTTCTGCTCGTTTTTAGGGGCAACAATCAAATGTTTTTTTTTGTGTTAATGGAGGGGGGGGACGGCTTGGGGGGGAACCCTTTGGTTTGCTATGTCCCAAGGGCCCCTTGGTACCTTCTGAGGAGGTGCTTAGACCCCTTTTTACCCCCCCAAAGCCATCCTCATGAAGTACTTGGCCCCTTTGGGAACTATGGCTAGGTCCCCCAGTAGTGCCCTTTCTCACCAACTTGTTTGGTTTGGATGGTTCCCCTAATAGGCTACGGAAAACATGGGTACCCTTATGTACCCTTATTCTAACCTCTCTACTGGAGGACGTAGTATGGTTTGCGTCACCTGTCCATTTGTTACTTTTATTTTTTGTAAGGTGTTTGTTTTTTAGTGGGCACCGGATTCCCATTTTGAAATTTCACCATAAAAATGGGCACCCTCCAACAGCACCATACACACCATATGTTCTGAAGGTATTGATTTTTGCTGGTTACCTTTTTGGGCTTTAAGGTGAGTGTCCCTTGGTAGGGGTGATGTTTCATGGTCAAATGTAGGAGCACTGCGTGTGTGTGTGTGTGTGTGTCTCACAAGTTTCAGGGGCACACCCAAAATTGGTATGCTGGCAACCCTAGTAGAAAGCCTTCTTCGGGGGGACAAGAAAGATGTGGGAGCATGGGGCAATTGGAGCTTTCGCGGAGCTTTCGCGGATTTCAGCTGAAAAAAATGGGTTTCGGCTGGGCTTTCCTCTGGTGCTTGTTCATTTGGAGTGGCCCTGAAAAGGCTTCACATGACAAAATCCAAACACGCAGTACTGACGAACTCCTGCGCCCAAGAAGCCCTAGAATGATTCGATTCCCCTGTAAATACCGGCACAATCTTTGGTGCATTTTGCTTGGCTGTTAGGACTTTAACTTTTTGCCAACTAATGGGTTTTCCACTAAACCACTAAAAGTTAAACTTTTAGCAGGGGAGCAGAAAGCAACCGAGCAATGGTTTCCTATGGCTTCTTAGGTGGTGAGAAATGGATTTCGCAATTTGGAGGCCTTCAGACCTCGGAGAGAGAACGGTTTGTTTGGAGAAAATTTGTGCGGCTTTGCCATATAATTATGAAACCTGCCTGCAGGTGATCGACCTATCTCCCATAGGTTTTGAAAAAAACTTCCCGAGCTTCCGAGTTTTAGTCGATTTGTGGGTTTGGTTGCCATTTTCGTGTCCACAATGACCAGCACAGCCCCTCGCAAACCTAGATTGGGAGCCGCATGACCCGAATCAAAAATGGTTGGTCCTTACTCTAAAAAAAAGGGTCATGGACCTATTTTTGATTCGGGTCATGGAGACTCCAGGAATGAACCCTCAATTTTTGGCGCTGGATTGACGCCGCTGAGCAACTGGACCCCCCTCCCCAAAACCGCTTGAGAGGCCCGAAACCCTAAACCCTACACCCGAAACCCTACACCCTAAACCCTACACCCTAAACCCTAACCCCTAAACTGCGCAACTGGAACCCCCCCTCCCCCTCCCCCTCCCCCTCCCCCCCCTTTACCGCTGGAGAGGCGGTGGAGAAGCTGATCTTGCTGAACCCCCAGGGCTTCATCGACGGGGCGCCCAAAGTGGGGCCCTTGGGCTTCCTGGGCATCAAAGTGCCCCTCGGCCGGACAGAAGCCGGGCATCGCTTCGAGCATTGGGTCAGTTTTTGTTGGTTGGTGTTAATGGGAATTTATCAAAAAAAGATGGTGAAAAGAAGACCGGTTAAGGAATGTTGTTTTTTTGATGAATATTGTTCTTTGTTTGTTTTAATGGGAAGTTCTCGGTGTACTGGATTTTGGTGAAAAGAAGATCGGTGATGTTCCCTGGTGGGTTTTAAAGGTCAGAATATGTGAATATGTGTTGTTTGTTTTCCCAGGTTGGTTTTAAAGGGAATATTATTTTGTTTGGTTGGGTTTAAAAGGATCGATTGCACCAGTGGACATATTCTCCCATTTTTAAGCAAATCGCAGAAACGCTGAACATTCGCCTGCAGATGGAGTGGAAGGAGGATGGTTTGGGGGGGTGGATGGTGCACTCCTCCAATTCAAAGCCTTGGTATTAGTGGATGGCTTGTTCGGAAGTCACTCGAAGTCAAAACTAACCAGTATTCCAGCTTAAAGTGGTTAGTCTCTACTAATCCCAGGTTGACATTATATACTAGGTTTGTTTGGGGATGGCTGGAAAGGCTGCCTTGAAATCCCATGGGTTTGGAGGACACAGAATGATTCGGGTGCTAGGGGCAGCAAGTTTTGATGTCACCATGTGAATCGAAGCGAGCGAATTCGGCGGTTTGGGCCGGGGTGCTCTATATAAGTGAACACGGAAGGTAGCTTCTTCGCCAACAAAAGGAAGGGCATTGGCGCTGATAATGTATGGAAGGCGGATATACGAGAAAACAGTCAAGCAGCTTGCCTGGTTTACGCTGCAAGAGCCTAACTAATTGGAACGGGATGGTGGGGTACTCTTAAACACATTACCTCATGATAATGGACGAACACAGCCATAGTACTGTTTGTGGTTGCTTTAGCCTTTGGCTTCAAAGGATGTGCGGTCATTGGGCAAATCCACATTGAGCTATTGCTCATTTGATTTTTCTCAAAATGGTGCCCCCGCATTTGGTTTGCATTCAAAGGGACACCAATGCGAAACTGTTGCTATTTTACGGCACCCCCTATTTTGAGAAGCAACCAATTTGCGGCAGTGTAACAGGGCTCTCTACATGTCCGAATTGAACATCACCCACTAGGCCCAGTTTAAAGTAAGTATCATCTTGTTGGGTGATGTTTCCAGGCGTAATACGGATGTTTGTCAAATTTACAGATCCCCGTCAGGTGGTTTGTTTCCTTTTGGGTTCCTTTAAGCATTCAATCAGGGGACCCCGATTTGGAGAGAAACCCATATGAGGGTTGACCCCAAATGACCATGGCTAACTTTTCTGTGTGGGAAGTATTGCATCTGTTCGTGGTGTCCAACCAATATAAAGGACCTTTTGAGAACCCGTACTTTCTCTGCAACATCACAAAAAATAGCACTCAACTTAAACCGGACTCAGGCGATGTTTCAATTGCAAATGTAGGGAGCTCCGTTATACTGCCCCAGCTGCCCACTGGTGCCCTTGTTTTTCTTGTTTTTAAAAGGGTTCCCCTTGAAAGTCAAGCAACCAACAAAAATCGAATGCCGATTGTTGTTTCCCATGGTCACTGGGCATTTGAGCTGCTGCTTGGGAGCATATGTGCCCTTTTTGGTTGTTTTGATAGAAAAGTAGATGGCCCTGATTTACCTGGTGGTTTAATCATCTACCAGGGAAATCCATCTATTTGCCCTAAAAGGCCACCTATTTGCTTGGGAGTCCATTTGCTTCTTGCTTCTCAGGCTGGGCTCTTGGCCTCTGAGATGGATGGCCAACCAGATGGGCTACTTTGACAAGGCGTTGTTTTGGGGGGGGACGCGAGCGATTTTTCCACCCGGCGCTCAGAAAGCCGGAGGGTTTCCGCCACAAAGGCACACGAAAGAGGGGGCACCACCAAAAAAAAGCAGACAGCTATGGGGGTGATTCTTTGAGGCTACTCTTCTTATAGCTTGTGTTTTTTGTTGCAAGGGACACACTGGGTGGTTTCCTGCATGTTGAATCACTCCTGCAACCTCTCAAAGGGAAGCACACGTGGATATGATTATAAGTGAATGCAGGCTCATTGGGCCAAGTGCCACATGGAAAGACGTGCTTTGGGGAATATGTGCTGATTTGTTGTTGAGTCGTGTCGCTTTAGTGAGTGTTGCTAGCTGTGTTCGTTCCAGTCAGGGGCAACCAGCGAATGCTATGCTGAATGCCTTGCTGAATGCTGTGCCTTTGGGTAGCATGTTGTTTTGTTGAGAAATCCGATGGACTCTCAAATGATGCAGGTGTTTAAGAGTTCCTTCAACTCTTGTCAAGCTTGATGCGCGTTCTTCACCTCTGTGGTCCAACCGTGCCCTCTTTTCCTTTTGAGGGGAAGGTGTCCCTTTGAAAATCGAACAGTGGCCGTCTTTTTCCCCCCATGGCCACTGGGCTTAGTGGGTCACTGTTTGACCCACTGATAATGGCACAGCTTCTGGAGCCATGGCATTTCCGAAGCAGGTCGTGCCCGCATTGCATTGTGTCCATAGGTGTCCTTTTGATCGGTTAGCTTGTTGAGTGCCATCTATTTTTCCAAAAGGGCACTCATGATTGTGTCTTGTGCCCGCTTCCTAAATCGACAGGCCTTCGGTTCAGTCCCTCAAAGATGTGCTGTCACTGGAGGGGATGGGGGAGTGTCTTGATTTCCCGAGAAGAAGTTGCAAAGCAGGGGCCGCAGGTATCGGACTGTATATGATCCCATGGTTACGCTGGTCCCCTTGTTAAGCGTTCTATTTATTTTCACAACTGAGCCTGATCAAAGCTTCAGTACGAAGTAAACTGGGGCTTCGGACCAGGGGTTCATACCAGTCGATGCAGCGGGGATTCAGACCCCGGGTTCATGGCTTGATACCTTCAGCCTTCAAGCAAAAGGCAAGCCCCTAACATTGTCTCGCCGGACCATTTCCGAACATGTCACCAATGTTGGGAAACATTTGCTTAAACAAACAGACGCTGGTGTTTATGGAAAACAAATGTCAACCACATAAACAGGGCTGTTTAAGCATCCTGACACTGCTGTTGTGCAAGCTCGAAGAGCAGGTTGTTGAAGCAACGGTGGTTTGAACATGTGCGTCTGTCATTTTTAGGGGACCTCCCCCCCCGGAAAAAAGAGGACACAGATTTGTGGTGTTCCTGTTGGTTCCCCTTTTTGAGGGGGTACTCTTCAAAAGACGAGCCATCCATGTTCAAGCAGGGGGTGGCCTTTCGCCTGCCCGTGAGAGAGCCAGGAGACCTATGCCACCGAGGATGCCGTGCGTGTTGGGCGCCTGCATGTGGATGTGGATGGCTGGGAAGAGGCGGGTAAAGAAATACGCCCAGGTGAGCCACTTGCTCAAAACCGATTCGGGTAGATGAAGGTTAGTCAGGGGCCGTCCCAGCCATAAATAGCTGCGGATATCCGCCTTCTTAATTCTTGAAGCATGGGTTCTGGGATTACGACCATTTTAACACCGGGTTTTGATTGTGACTCAGGTGATGTCTGCACCGATTCAGGGGGCCGGGTCCTTGTTTCCAATCCGCCAAAACCTACTGTGGATACTTGGAATCCAGGGGCACACTAGTGTTTGTTGGTTTTTGCAAGGGAATCGAATCATTCCAGGGTTTCTTAGGTAGCCCCCAGCCCCGGAACTCCGGAAAGATGAACCCACCCTGAAATCTGCAACCCAAACCACCCCAGAGCCGCAGAAGCCGATCGAACCCCATAGCTTTCAGCTGGGAAGAAGCCAAACCTGAAGCCTGGGTTCCTGAAAGGAATCTGTGCGTGTTCTCAGAATCTTTTGGGGCGAAGTTTCCCTCCAAACCAACAACTTTTGGAGGACGAAGTAAAGGGGATTGGGAAGACGCGGAAGTTTGCGACCCGGAAAGATGAGCCTGGCGGTTTCAAATTCCAGGCCGTTAGCCAGGGCCTTCCGTGGGTTCGAAAAGGCGTGGCACGAGCAGAAGTGCAGAGGTGCGTGCACAAACCCAGGTTGCCGCTGGGTACACTCCCGGCGAACAGCCAAGGAGGCTCCCCCATCGCCTCTGTGGAACCAAAGTCGTGTGAGGTCCGCGGAGCTTCCATGGACTCGGCTGGGGCAGGGGTGCGTGTGCATCACTCCAGAGGGATCGACATAGGCGAGCCATGAGCCAAGTAGATGGAGGTTCAGGGACCATCCTAGCCATGGGGTGGCGATGTTTGTCCTTTTCATTCTTGAGATTTGTTGGTAGACGGCTTTACTTTTATTTTATTCTCGCTCCCAGAATTGTCTGGGGTTGGGGCAATTTTGTGGCAATCAGAAATCAGACAGTTTTCGGACTTGCTTTTGTTTGGCCAGTCCACTCGATCGGAAGAGAGTATTTGTAGAGAGGCACCTTTTTGGGGAACGGAATCCGTTTTTGGGTTTGGGGTGACAATCTCAAACTGTCCCTCTTTTCGTTGGTGGCTTAAAGGGAACCCATCGCGATAGCAACTTTGAGGTTCCTGACTCCCCCTTCACTGTCCCCCCTTGTCAATTGCTGGTGCTAGTTGGAATTCGGGAATGAGACATGGAATGAACCTGGGGATTCCCGAAATCAGGAATCCACCAGTTGGATGGTTTAGTTCAGGTTCATTTCCTTTCTCATGTCCTACTTCTCGCACCAGCAAGTTGTTGTTCCAAATTTGAGTAGCTAGGTCCCCCAGTAGTGCCCTTTTACCTTTTTTTGGGAGAGGGGTTCCCCTACTAAAATAGACAAAACTGCAAGAATCGGGTACCCTTGTTGTATCCTCTCAAATCTGGAGGACCTAGATGAACTTTAGTCACTTTTTGGGTGTGAACACCAGGCCTACCGAAAGGGGCAGGGCACTAAGTGGTAAGTAACCAACCACTTCCCTGACGTACCGAATCGATCGCCCCAAGTACTTGTTGTTTAGTATTATTTTAATACATTTTAGTAGCCTCTTTGAGTAACCCTCTTTGAGTAAAGTTACTACCTAGAGTTTGCATAGGTAAAATAGACTAAAACAGTTGGTACCAACTTAATCTAACTCCTCTCAAATCTGGAGGACCTAGAAAAAGTCGCCGCACCTCAGCCCAGGGACAAAAAAAATGGGGCTTCCCGGGCCAGGCGAGCCTGGATTACCTGAACTCGGGGGGCTACACATTGTCGCCCTTGGCGCCTCGCACGAAGGGCGGAGGGCGCGAGGAGCCGTAGGTTCGGTGGAGTTTTTTTTTGGAATCCAGCCAACACACCGGGCAGAAACCCTGGGTTCTGAGGATTTCCCCGAAAAAGTACCACAACAACCAGTTTGAGGGTCCCCCCAATTTGAAGAGAAGGATCCCTGAAGAGAACGGGGAGGGTACAGCCAGAATTGATTTTTCCCATTGGCTTCCTTGCAAAGGCACATCTAAAATGGGTCGGAAAAGACGGAATGCCCATTTTCATGGTTTTTGTTCTTTGGGCTGTTCAACATGCTTCGGCTTCGCCGATCCTTTTCTTCCATCATCCCTATATGCAACCACAAAGAGGAACGGGTTCCTTGCGCCCAGCACAGGGGGCATGGCTTAACAGGATGTTCTCGAACGGGACACTTCGTGTTGCCAGTTGTCAATTGGCGCCCTGAAAAAAAAAACTCGGCCGCAACGGGTGCCCTGAAATTGTAAGGACACCCACCCATGTGTAGGAGTGTCCTCTACCTGTCGCATTCTTGCGCCTGAAAGCCAGGCCATCGGAGGGCCCCTCTTCTGACCAGACGCAGAAAGCGTGACGTTTTTAACCTACATCTCTCCTCAGGTCTATTGTGAAAGTGAAGGGAACCCAAGAAAACGACTCGTGCGAAAAGCGGAATCTCGTTTCTTCCATTTGCTCAAGCCATCTCAAGCCCCATGGAAAAAGCAAACATATGTCCAGTAGTGATGGGAGCTTTTGGGGCGACCCTGGTGGGGTTGGCCAAAAGGAATCACCTGGCAAAAGACTCCTCCTCCTCCTCCTCCTCTACCTTCTGGTCTTGGTCGACTTGTAATTGCCAGGACGATATAAAGATGATCCAGGCAGTGCATCATAGATCCAAGGAACTTTGAGTGACAACAATAACAAGTCGTCCACAATCAGCCCAAAATCGTCAAGCTACGAATTGCAATGCGAGACGGAGGTCAGATTACATCATCCAACTTCGGCTTTGTTGCCTCATTGTCAGTGGACAGTATGCGGTGAGACTTCCAGCATGAACAACGGTCATACATAAGCGACCTTTTTGGAAAAAAAACGGATGGGCCTGGCAAAAAATGCAACAACACCAATCTACACCAGTGCCATCTACTTCTAAACAAACTTACCTACAAAGGACACCTCTGCAGTCATAGTTCATCCCGATTGGTCAGCGTGGGCAATGCTTGCAAGCACCCAACTGCATTTCCCAGGCCGGTCACTTAGATTGGGCTTTACACTCTCTTTGAGCCCTCTCTCCCTAGATCCCTTGCATGATTTGCATGCATTGCAGCTTGACTGTTTATATCCGGGCTGTTGAAAATGCATTGTTGGTCAATGCCCTTCCATTATCCTCATTGGAAAACCACTACAAAGGGGAGCAACTCCTTACGAAAACCTGGCACTTGTTGCCTGGATTTCGCTCATGGCTGCCAGTTGGACTTAGACACGGACTTCCATGTAGCGAAATGGGTCCATGTAGGATAGTCAATTGCTTGGGAATAAGCTTCAGCTTGACAAACAAACACATGGCTGCTAAAGATAGCGGAAACAACAAACAACTTGATCCAACAACAGTGAAGCAGGCCCCGCGGTTGTTTAGAGCGCTGCGCAACTGCTGACATTTGGTGGACGCCCCAAATATTGAAATCACACCAAGCGCACTCCACCGTGTTTCCCCTGAAAACCCATGGTGTGTCCTGTTGGCATTATTATGAAAGCCCAAAAAGGCGACAGAGCCTCAAAAAAGGACACGCCCACACGGTGGATGAACGAAATCCATGTCGCACCGCTTTGAAACCATTGCATACATATCCCTAGCAGAGGCCTATCGACCCCCTTGCCTGGACCCTCCTATAGGCCTACCAACCCCCTTGCCTGGACCCTACAACAGGCCTATGCACAGCCTTCCCCTCGAGAGATCTATGCCAACCATTGTTCGTTGGTATTTGCAGGTGCATCGAATCGTTCCAGGGTATCCATCTGATGGTGCGAAATGGCATAACCATTGTTTGTCGGCATTTACTGGGGAATCATCCAGCATGTGTTTAGAAAGCCTCGGGGGAGAGAAGCCATGGTCAAGTTCACTAGTATCCAAACCAGGTTTCTGGCAAAAAATGGCCAAACCCCCTGAAAAAGAGGTGGTTTCTAAAGAGAACGATGGGTGAAGAGAATGGGGCATCAAACCTTAGGCCTGACAAAATATATACGAAAATGGGCATTCCGTCTTTTCCGACCCATTTTAGGTGTGTTTTGTTTTTTGTCAGGAAGCCAATGGAAAAAGCCAATTCTGGCTGTACCCTCCCCATTCTCTTCAGGGATCCTTCTCTGCAGAAAATTGGCCAAACCTCCCTGGAAAAGAAGGATGGCTGAAGAGAATTGGGCATCAATCCCAAAATAAAAGACACATGAACATGGGTATTCCAATTCTTTTCAGACCCTTTTTGGGTGTGTCTTCTGCAAGGAAACCAACAAAAAAACAACGCGGACATCAGCGGGGTGTCGACACCTTCTGAGGTGTCCCAAGTGTCGGTGCCCACGCTGATGCCAGGGCCTCAGATGAAAAGGAGGGCCAGAGGAGGATGTGGCGGTTGGAAGGGAGCCGGACTCGGCGCTGGGGATATATAGTTTTATATGCTTATAGTATACGTATACATACGCATACGCATATTTATATGTATATACATGTCTTTATATATATATACATACAACAAATAATATAATAAGTATAACAGTATAATTAACTATATATATGTATATGTTGATGTGTTTGCCATTAAAGAGCTACCAGGAGTCCTGTAGCGACTGCAAACAGCTGCCCTCCTAGCAAACATGGTCTGATGCCAAGACCCTTTCCAAGAAGGTTCGGTCTTGAACGAGGGCGCGCACCCGTGTTGGCTTAGTAACAGTTCAGGACGTCGAGCCGAGGCTTTGGGGTGAGAAGGATGCTCCGTGGCCGCAGAGAGAAAGTTGCGAGTCGGCATGTTGGTTTTGCCAGCCACCATCCAAGCTGATTTGGGGTGAAGGCGAGGGACAGTCCCAATCCATAATGAGGTGCAGATATCCGCCCTTTTGATGTTCTTCTCACTTTCTGAGTTCCGATTAAACTCTTAGGAACACAATTTTGGTGGTAAGCCCCAAGTTTGGACTTTTTGTTCACCCATCCCCTCAGGAATCAGGAAGTGAGTTCTCTACATGGTTTGCTCCTGACTTCTGCGACTCACATGGCTGCGGGAACAGAGTCCGAACAAACCTTGTTTTGTGTGCAGAAGTGTGCATGGTCAACCGATTCCTTTACTTTAGGGTTGACAGGGATGGTCATCCACCTGGATCCTTAACCATCATTATTCCTGAGGGAAGCACAGCCCAATCGGCCAAAATGACGGAGTTTTGACCATGGCTCACGTGGGCTTCAAGAGTTGGTACCTTGAATTGGTGGTTTGGATTTGTGCTGTGGATTTCGATTTGAACCCTGATTCTTGTAGAAGTTAAATGGGAAACTACCCCCGCAATACAAACCAAACCACCAAACACAAATTACACTTTATGGCTGCACAGCTATCTCCGTTTGCAGTTGGACAAAACTTACATGTCACATGCTCTTGCATATGGTCTGGCAAAAGCAGTAGTTTAAATCTCAAAAAAGATGCCGTTGCTTCCACCCTAGGCCAAACTTGCTTCTTTTCACAAATGGAGCAGCTCCGGGTGGTTTCCCCTGAGACGGGAAGGTCAGTCAAAAGGAGAGAACGGGAGTTTTGACCAAAGCCACACCGAATTGGAGGGAAGTTGGCCTTGTCTTTTTGAAGGGCACCCTTTTTGGTGTGTTTTTAAAAGGAACCAAAGGGAAAGCCAAAGAACTATATTTGTTTTCTGGCGTCCAGATAGTGGTCAGTGAAAAGCTGAGATTGGACGCTGAGGAGATTCTGAATGTGGAGGAGCAGGTGCCCCGGTTCCAAGCGGAGCTCAGCTGCCCTGTGCAGCTCCAGTGGATCAAGGACTAAACAAGTCAGCGATCCCACGAAGGCAGAATCTGCATTTGGAAATGGGCAAAAAAGCTATGAGGAACTGCCTACCGTTCCTGAGGACAAAAATGCAGACTTTCCGAGATCCATTGTGCACCGAGCCGGACTTCCATGTCCCTGGGGTGCTCTTTTTAGGTTAGATATCCGCGCCCTCAGTTTGATTCGGAAGTCGATGTCTCACTTCTTGGAGTTCCTGATTTTGGCCGGGGTAGACTTCGGATACATTTTGCATTTTACCAGTGACTCCATGTGAAGCAAACAATGAAATATACATTCTAGAACTGGGCCTAACTCTAATCATGCTAAGGGATCCCCGTGGCTTCCATTTGGTTAAGATGTTTATTATTATTTTTATTTTCCCCTGTTGGTTTCAAATTGGGAATCTATCACTACTGGAAAAGGTGTTTTTTTCCTTCTAATAGTTGTGTTCTTTTTGGGTTAAACCCCATAACTCTACTGCTATTGGGTTGCATTTTTAGACTTCAACCTTGTAGTACTGTAGATTCCCCCTTATATTTCCAGCAACAAGTTCAACTTTTTGCTCGGGGATCTACAGCACCCAAGATAACGAGATAAGTGGTGGTGGTGCTTTTGGCTTCCCCTTAAAACAACGGAAAAGAGGGTGCCCTGAAAAAAAAAAGTTGGCACACCCACTGGCCAACGGGTGACCGGTCACCCTTTTCAGGCAAGAGGGGTTCAGCATGGACCTTCCAACCCCCAAGTTGTACAGGACCCTTCAAAATGGCGCAACGGTGTTCCTTTTGGTTTCCCCTCAAAACCAAACAAAAAGGGGACTCTCAAAAAAGGACACGCCCGGACCCGGGGTCTGCGGTGTTTCGGCTTTTAAGTTCGGGTCGACTAAATATGAACCAGACTCCAAACATTTGGGGGGTGATCAACAGGTTCTTGGGCTGACCATTGGGGAACACCACTAAAGGTCCATATTTCACCATATTTCTCACATGGAAAAAGTTACTCATGGTCATTTGGGGGCCTTTCACGGAATATTGTGTTGATTTTCCAAACAGTTTAGATTTTCCATGGGACCCAAAAAAAGTTATTCACTTTTCACAGAGGGGTCGTTACGGCAACCCAGAAAGTTGGTCGGTTTCTGCTTGTTCCCGCCAGGCTTGGGGGTTGAAGTCGGCTGTGCGCCATGTTTGCCATAGCGTGTGCGTTCATGTGCTTTACGATATGGGTATGGGTCAAAAATCCGATGGTTTTAGCCTTTGTTTCCATCTTCCAGCGTTCCATTTTGGGCTCCTATTGACCCACACCCATATCTTGTAGTTTCTCTGGGTTTAAGGGAACCTATCACTACTTGATGTGTTTCTTTCTTTCGTAGGGAGCTTATAAGCAACTGGAGGCCAGGTCACTTGAGCAATGCCTTGCCGTGTACTTGAGAGCCAATGGTATGTTATGGCGGTATCGTAGCTTTTGGGTATTGGAATCGCGGTTCCGAGCCATCCGGTTTCTTAGGTTCTTAGATGTTTTTAGGTGGTTTAGTGGTAGTTCCGACTAAACCACAACTGAAACTTTTACCAGGAGGGGACCAATCAAAGAGCAGCCCAGATTTGAATCGTGGAAGGCTGCCCAAACATCACGCAGGGAGGCAAATGTGCTATGCTTTTACTGGCAAACGTATTGAGGAGTGTGCAGTTTTGAGTGACACTTTGCTCCTGGATTTGATTTGGTTTTGCCTGAACTGCTTCCCTTCAAACGTGAATATGCCGCACTCAGATTTGATAGCGGGTGTTTGTGATCAAGCTTCCGCCTGGCCACCGTATTTCCTGTGGGCAGAAGATATTCTCGGTTGTTCAGTGGCTCCCTTTTTCCTTTTTTTTTGGTGGCTGCCCCACTAGAATGGTCCAAGCCCCAAAAAAGGGGTCCCTGTTTTTTCTTATATCACTGAACAACTGAGCATTGGGCATCTCATTTCCTCCAGGATAGCGGACACGTACCTCACCTTGAGTGGCTCGGCCGGCAAAGCGGGGCCGCCTCGGGCAAGGGGCCATGTTCAAGCGCGAGTCAAGATATGGGTGTGTCTGTTTTGTTTTTTTCTTTAAGGTACGCGTTGTTTTGTGGTTTTAAAGGGAAACCAAAAGGAAAGCCACCCTTTTTTTGTTTGGGGGGGTCCCAAAAAAAGACACTCATGCATATTGATCTATTTCTAACAGGATTTTACTTTTTGTGATGCTTATACAGTTTCACAACCAATTTTCTGGGAGTAGTGGTTTTGGGATTAGCGGACATTATGTGTGCTCGAGTTTGTATTTGTGTTCTACGATAGGTTTCAGTGGGCGCATCATCATCACGAGTAATTTTTGACTTGACTCGTGAGCTTACAGTTGACCATATTACGACTGGTAAGCATTTGTCTTCCGGTAGGCTTGCAGTAGACAAAGCCGAAACTAATCACCAGACTGGGCATAAGCTGCATGCAGCTGAAACATAAGCAAACAAGGGGGGCCGGTGAACAGACGCAGGCCGAATGGCACAAAAAAAACGATCCGTCAAAAAAGTTTCCGTGTACCTGGACCCGAAGAATCTACAAATCAAAATAAGAAGAAAAAAACGGAACTCGCCCACCATAATTTTGGGAGGCTATAACCCATTGCTAAGTTGGAATTTTGAGGGGTCAGCTAGCCCGAAATGTGCTTTGCTTGATGTGCGCCATTCGACACATGACCGGAGGCAGCAACGTCATGTCCTAGTTTCCGCACTATTTTTGTGCAAGTATCAGCTCAAGCAGGCTGTGCTCCTCACTTCCTGAGTTGCTGGACTTCAGTCACTTTTTGGGTTTGGACCATAGTGGCAAATGAAAAGTTCGGCGACTTGTTTGCCCCATCTCGATCGGAAGTGAGGCAGCCGGAGTCCCCTCAAGCCGAAGCCCCTTACCCCGCTTGATTCATCTGAGGAAGCCGGAGGAAACGGCAGCAGCGATTGCGGCAGCTTGGTACAAGTCGACCCAGATCCCAGTTACCTACTTGCCGGTTCTCAGCAGGGAATGAGTGGTGAAACTATGGCACAATTCCCATGATTTCGACTATCCCCTTGCTTATTCGCAAAAAGGGAATCGTGCCATTTGCTTGCACCTGCGGTGTACCTGCCGCAAATTCTAAGTATAGCTTCAAACTGTAAGTGAACGGGTGCGTCTCAAGATTGCGATCCGCTCTTCGTTGGTTTCAAAGGGAAAGCAAAAGGAAGCCAACCTTGTTAGGCAACACCCGAATGATCCCAAATCGACATTCCCGGCATCAAACATCAGCTGGCCTGGTGAGAACGAGTTTCGGAGCATGAACGGTGCGTTGAGTATTTCTGTGGCTCTATTAGTGGACGGTGCGCCATGCAAGAACTCGACACAACTCGGCCAAACATAATTTTCCAAGGACCAATCCCAGCCACCATGCGAGCCCAGTCACACACGAGCTCACGATCTAGTGGGACATGATCGCGAAACGGAACCTCGAGGTGTTCAGCATGTGTAGCGGTGCATGTCCAAGCACAATGACATGCCTGGCTTTGCATGGGTGTTTCTCACAATAGTGGACCGACCTCGCGTTGGCTGGCGTTAAAAGGCAAAGCAAAAGGAAACCAACCATTTTAGGAACAACTTAGATGGTCTGGGACGAATCGCTAAATGGCTAGTAGCCCTGGTTACAGGTTGGACTTACAACCATTGCTGTGGTGGGTTACAACCAGGGCAAAGCTAGCCATTTAGCAATTCCTCCCAGACCATCCAAGTACTTTTTGAGAAAGCCCGGGTATCATTTGTTTGTCCAAGGTGTCATGATGTGACTGAGGAATTTCTGCAGGGCAAGCAGTGAGGCCTCAAAGGTGGCCTGAGGGCTTCTGCAGATTCACTGCAATGCGGATGTGGGTGTTGCGTTTTGTTGGGAACCCGCTTTGGATTGCCGACCTTTCGTGGTGTTGCCGCACTTGAGACATGCCCAGATTTGGAACTTGTCGCATAACTCGTCATTTCTGGGGAGCATCCAAAGGCTTGTTTTACCTTTCGCTAGGTCCCCAGTAGTGCCCTTTTACCCTTTTTTGCGGGAGGGTTCCCCTACTAAAATAGACAACAGGAAAAAGTTGGTACCCTATTCTATCCTCTCTACTGGAAGACCTAGTCTTTAATTATCACCCACAAAATCCACCCATGCAGTGATACTCCCAGTGTCTGCCATGTACCTTGCTCCTAGTGTTGAATTCCGTGTGTTCAAAAGCTAAGGACTCGAAGGCTTGGCTAGGGCAACGCACATGACAGAGTAATATTGACCCAGGATTAATAAACCCGTCCCATTATTGGGGGGGTGTTCCCTCCAAAAGTGATGAATTCCCACTAAAAGGGGACACCCCCCTATTAATCAACCAGGCGCAGGAGTTTATTATTCCGGGGTGAACATGAAGTGAATTGTTCAGAGCGGCGCCAGGCGATAGTTACCGATAGATTCATTCAACGCTTAGAAGAGCTTGTTAGCTTGATTTTCCTATGTCGAACATGAACCATAGCGATCAGATGGATTCAATGGATTTGGTCAAATCCAAAGAGCCGTTCGTGCATTGCGATTTCACCCTGAGCGCTCATTTTTCCATCACTCGCTCTGGGTCTGTGCGAGTGCTCGCGGTCCCCAAAGTAAAGGGCGATTCATTCGGGCTTCGGGCGCGGCCGACAAATGCGCGTGCTTTTGCAAATGGATTTGAGTCTTCAGTTCTCTTTCCACTGGGATGTTGAGCCACGTAGCGACCAGAGCTCTTCGGAATGCTTAGTGGCAATCCCGGATTTGTTTCCTGCCCAGCGGCCCTTAGACTTAACCAACCAACAAATGATGCCCGGGATTCTGAGTGTGTGGGCGTGTGGTGTCTCATACGTGGCACCCCATGGACTACCCTCGAGATGCGCAGAAAAAGAAGGTCAAACTTGCACCTGTTGCATCTCGGGTGATGCGCAATGTCCGTATGAGGGTTTCTCAACATAG